CAAGGAAAAGACCCATCAGATTTGTTCTTCTCATTTGCATTTCAAAAATCTCAAAACCGGACTGGCGTTCTTCGGAGAGCACACACGCACTTATGCAGATCACGATGCAGCTTCCCTGAGTTTTTGGTTCTTGCATTTTGCTGGTATGGAATCAAATATGGAATTGAAGCTCTGTTTGAAAGTATGTAATTTGTGTTTAGATAGGTGGTGGTGGTGAAATGATTCAAACACTGATATCTTCTCAAATCCTGCCACTGAAAAGACTTTCAAGAGTGGCTGTTAAGGAGGTGTTTTGACAACAAAACAGAGCAGCTATGATTAGCTTGATAAAAGGGAGGGCTATTGATGGCATGTATGTCTAGGATCTAGTTACAAAATGGGCTTTTAACATTTGAATTCAAACTGAGAGGCTAACGTTTTGGAAGGGGGGGGGTCGGTGTTGTTGCTATTGCTTGAGTAACCCTTTATACATATGAAAAATGAGACATTAATAACCCTGACCAGAGCCAACCATTGTGTGTGGAGGCATTGTGTAAGTTTCCTTGCTTCGTGCTACCAGTGGATTTGAATCTTGACACTGAAAGCAAAACTGACTCTCAGAGAAAGTGGAGTGGCAGACCGTCTCTTGCAGGCTAGTTTTCCGGTTCTGAAGTGGACTTTGCGGAGACCTCTTTTGTATCTTCCAATATATAACTCATAATTAAACCGCATCATTCGATGCTGACCTAACCGGGCACTAAACTGTTGCCCAGCCTTGCTGCAAAGACAACCCTGATAGACAATTAACAATAGGAATACAAATGTGGAAACAAATGACAAATGGCTTTTTGGGTGTAGCTTCAGCCTGCTATCTTTGTTCAGGAGAAGATTGCTGCTGCTAAATAAAGAGATGGAAAGGCAGCCTTCTCCGGTTAGCATCTGGTGAGAATGAATATCTCACATGGGGAAGAAACTGTTGCTCTCCTTTGCAACCCATCTGCTTTTTAAGACGAATAAACATATGGGAGGGCAAAACAAATGAATTGCCCTGGTGTTCTACATTGCTGACTCCACACATCACTTCCTTTGGTGGTCTTGAGCAAAATTTCCTAACAACCTGATCTTCAAAATTTTCTTTCAGCAAATGCTCCCCCCCCCCGGCTATAAACAGGTACAAGACCACCACCACGTATGGGATTGGGAGCATATGGTCATTTGGAGGCTGCTGGGCTCCAACTCCCATCAGCCCCAGTCAGCATGGCCGATGGTCGGGGATAATGGGAGTTGTAGTCTGGCAGCATCTTAAGGGCCACAGGTTCCCCAGCTGAGTTTTAAGTCCTTGTGATTTCCATGGGTTAAATAGGTGTTTAAATTTACCTCACTGATATGTGTTTAACTTTGAACAGGATCAGACACAGTGAGATTTACACCACTGTAAGAACCTGAAGCCTCTGACAGTATCACTAGGAGTGGCCACCAAGACTATATAGCACCAGTCCCGAAAGACCAGCATTGGCTCCCAGTACATTTCCGAGCACAATTCAAAATGTTGGTGCTGACCTTTAACACCCTAAATGGCCTCGGCCCAGTACACCTGAAGGAGCGTCTCCACCCCCATCATTCAGCCTGGACACTGAGGTCCAGCTCCGAGGGCCTTCTGTTGGTTCCCTCCCTGCGAGAAGCCAAGTTACAGGGAACCAGACAGAGAGCCTTCTCGGTAGTGGTGCCTGCCCTGTGGAACGCCCTCCCAGCAGATGTCAAGGCAATAAGCAACTATTTTACTTTTAAAAGACAACTGAAGGCGGCCCTGTTTAGGGAAGTTTTTAATGTTTGAAGTTTTATTCTGTTTTTAGTCCTCTGTTAGGAGCTGCCCAGAGTGGTTGGGGAAACCCAGCCAGATGGGCGGGGTACAGATAATAAACGATGATGATGACTCCATCCTCTTCCACTGTTACATGTTCCGGATTATGATTCTAAGTCATTATTAGATTTCCAGATATTGGGGCCTTGGGCAATACTGACCAGGAAGTTCTCTGGTGCAAGTGCCCTTGAAATGAATGCATGCTTCTGGAAGGCCGTAGCTCAGCGGCAAAGCTTTGTGCTCAAGTCCAGCTTGCAGGCTTCCCATCAGCACCTGGGCTGCTGCTGTGTGAACTAGAGGGGCCAGTGGCATGAATTGACAGGGCTTGTCTTAGGTTTGTATGCATGCTTAATTCAGGTAGGGCTGAAGAAAAAAAAGACTCTTGTCTGGAACTCTGGAAAAACACTGGTGGTTATGACAACATTGAGCTAGAAGATGGGCCAATGATTCTACTCAGTATAAAGCTGTTTCCTTTGAGGGTGCCATTTGAATTCCAAAACGCTTTGTGTCCTCTTAATTCTTTCTTGAATCCTTTCCAACAAGGCAACATCCTTTTTGGACTATGATGCCCAGTGATGAACACATAACTCAAAGTGGGATTCCCACCCCCCTTCTCCAGGGTGCTAAGCAGAGCAGTGCTACAACCTCCCAAGAGCGGAGTCATCGGGGCAAGACTTTGGGGCAGGCGCACAGAGCCCCATTCACAGACTGAGCAGGAGGGCCCCGAAATGCAGCAGGCCTGCCTTACTACATCTGGAACTAAGTGGCGTAATACTACCACCTAAAGAGCCCCCTCCAAAGACCATTAAGTCCAGAGTCTAAAATTACCTTATTGCATCGCTGCTTCGCAGGCTGTGGAAACAACCCTTCCATTGATGCAACCTAAAATGGTGGCTCCATTAGCTTTTTGGACCGCAAGATCACGTTTTACTTCATTATCCACCCGGACCTCCCCCTCCCAGCACTGCTATCTAGCCTAGTATTTCCCATCTTATATTTAAGCATTTTCTGCCCTTGTCTTAAGCAGACTATCTTCCCTCCGGTTACTTTTCTGCTTCCTTCTGTGTAAACTACAGCTTTTAAAAATCCTCTTCAAGTGAGCTTTTAACTGGGGGTGGGGGGAGGAAGAGGAAGGACAACAGCCAGATGGACGGTGTATAATTAATAAATTATTATTATTACTACTACTGCTATCTAGTTTACCTTTCTATTAACCATGGCTTGAAACAGACAATTAAATGTTTCCCAAAACAGGCACAAAAAACCCAGAGTTCTACGTGCTAAGGGTTTATAATTCGAGGCATGAGCTCATCCAACCAACCAATCCACCCTCTTTTCTATGATGACGGCGTTCACCCAAAGGTCAATTCGACCATTATTAGTTCATCCCCCGTTTACTGCCGTGGATCTCGCCTACCACTAGATGGCGCATTGACAAAGAAAACAGAGCAAACTTTCGGGCGCCTGATCTGCCCCTTCCTGGACTACCTGGCCAGTTTTTGTTTTGTTTTAATCCCACGTGGGATTTCTCTTCGGTGGCGGAAGGCGTGATCGCCCCACACCTCACACTCTCCGGCAAAATGTGGGGTTTGGATTGTCGCCTGAAATAAATTTGTATTGGGAGAGGGGGAGGGGGTAGAATAAATTTATACCCTCCCGCGCGCGTAAGATATATAGATATATATTGGACAGCGTTTAATGCACGTGGGACGAGCGGGTGGTGGTCGCCCACTGTCCCCCTCCGAAGGAGGTGGCTTCTTTCCGAGGAGACGGGAGCGCGGGGCGGGGCGGGCGGGGGACCGACCTGCCGTTTCATAAGCCTCCTGTTTTGGAATGTGGATTTCTACTGTAGTAAACAGCTCGTATTGCCCTCGAGGGATACAGCACCGCGCTCGGGCGTTTTGTCAGATCAGTGGAATTAAAAGTATTTGCAAATTGCTTTTCTACTCATAACTCTGTCAAATGTGCTAAGTGATATTTCGGATCACCTGTTTGTGCAGGGCACATGAGACAACAGCAGCAGCGCTCTTTTTTCATGCCTTTTACGTTTATTATGATTGTTCTAGTATCACCGGCACCATCACGATGATGATTATTATTGAAACCCAAAGCTGCTGCTGCGCCGTTTCCAGCACCGCCACCACACCCCTGCTGTTATCAGTGGACGAGTCCTCCCTTGTGCGAGTGTGATAAGGGGATCATAATAAAACCGTCACCCCACCCCGGCCCCCCAGCAGTGTCAAGTCCCGCTGTTAGGATCACACAAAAGACCTCTGCAACAAAGCTGGCGGGTGTGTAAGGGGGGAATCCCACGAGGCAGGTCTCAAGGCACCAACTTGGCGAAGACTGACAGGTCGTGGGTGGGGGGCAAGGGAGAAGGGCAAGATCCAAGTTGAAGGAGAGATCCCGCAGCACATGGAATCCAGAGGAGAAGGTGCCCTCGATCGGAATCGTCTCTCCCTCCAGACCTTCGCTCGGCACTTTCTCCCGACTGGGAAGGGGAGAGGTGGAGGATGAAACAACCAAGCAACTCAAAAGCACCCAGCAACAATCCCCCCGCCCGCTTGCCTCCCCCGGGCCTTGCCACACACAACGCCCCCCCCCCCCCCGTTGAAGCTGCAGGGCACCTGCCTGAGCACGGGGTGAGCAGCTCGGCCTCCTCCCGCCCCTCTTTCGTCCCGGAATAAATCGATCCGAAAGAAGTGGCGGCGCGAGCGGGGAGGGGCGCGGGGTGGAAGGCAAGCCAAGCATATAGGCAAAAGTGGCGAGGCAACAATGGTCTTTTTCTTTCGGGGGCTGCTGTCTGAGAGTCTAGCCTCGCCGTCAATAGCGGCCGATAGGATCTAAATTGTCCTGGGCTCGAGGCTTTCGCTACTGGTGCTGAACAAAACAGAGATCTATTTCCTCGGCAGCCTCTTGCTGCCCCTACCGCCGATGGAAGGTCCCCTGCCTCCCTCCCTCCCTCGCTATCCCGTTTAGCTGGGAGATGTTGCTCCTGCTGGGGCGGAGAGGCGAGGGTGGTGGCTTCTGCGTCTAGGGCCGTCGGCTCATCCCGAGGCAGACACAAAACACAAACACGCCGGGGGGGGCTGGATGGAAGGAAAGGAAGTTGGGCGGGCACCTCAGAAAACCCCTCTGGAGAATAAGAGGGGAATCAGCTGAATAGCTCAGTTGGCTAGAGCGTGGCACTGATAACACTGTGGTTGCAGGTTCGATCCCCGCAAGGGACAGTTGCATATTCCTGCATTGCAGCGGGTTGGACTGGATGATCCTCAGGGTCCCTTCCAACTCGGTGATTCTGTGAGTCTTATTTAGGGATCGGTATGTCAAGCACCCTGTCAGACCCAAGGGGAACGTAGGCTCCGATCCTGCGCCCTCCGTCCCCCTTGACCTGGGAACCAGCCCCACGGAACTGCGCGGGACCTGCTTTGGGCTAGACAGGTGTGGGGCGCCGAGGTGTGTGCTGCGGGCCGAGCGCGCTCTTGCGCGCACGACCCCTCCCCACGCGCGCCGGCAGGAAAGTTCCGCTCGGCTCCCTCCCTGACAGCGCGCGAAATCATCGATCAGGTTTGGGGACGGGGGAGGCGGAAAAACACACACACGCCGACCTGAACAGGCAGAGAGGAAAAACAGGAGCGTCAGAACAGGGAGGCGAGGGAACCGAGTAAGAGGCGGCGGCTGCCCTGGCGAGCCTCTCCGTCAAGGGAGCCTTCCCAATCGGACCAAGTGGGAATTGATCAGGAATTGATCCTGCGCTCCGGACTGCCATTCAAATCGCGGGAGGTTTGCCTGCTGTAAACCCTCCTTCTTTCAGCGGGGTGGGGGAGAAGCCAGTCAGCTCCTGGAGGGATTTCTTCTCCTCCTTCTTCTCTCTTTTGGCAAACAGGTGATCTCTTTCTGCGTGCGATTCTTTATTCCCACCCCCTCCTCCCGCCGTCCCGTTTCGCCCCCATCCCAAACCGTACACTTCTTTCCCTTCCCACCCCCCACCCCGGCTGGACTACTCCCTCCTTTGGAGAACACGCCCAAGTAGGCTGAAGAAGAGAGAGAGAGAGAGAGAGAGAGAGAGAGAGAGAGAGAGATACACACACAGAGAGATAGTAACATTGAACCTGAGGAGAAATCCTCCAGAGCTGCTGCGCGCTGCGAGAGGGAGAGAGATTATTGGAGCCTATACATGTGGTGGTGTGGGGTGTTCTCTCCCCCCACCTCTCCCCTTCTTCTCTTCCCCCAGCGCGCTCTAAAGTGTTACGTGTGACAGGCATACAAATCCGGGATAGAGAAGGAGTGAAGGGAGAGAGAGAGAGAGAGAGAGACCCAGCGGAGAGGGCGATGGTGATTGTCTCTTGGGATTTACAAACACCCACCTCTCGCTCCGGGTGGCTCCGATCTCAGGAGGGCTGGACTGTTTTGTCTGCACTACTTTGACCTGGCGTTGCACTGTCTGAGGCACCGAGAAGTTAACCAGCGCGCAAAGAGTGTGAGGGAGGAATTACTACTACTATTATTACTACTGCTGCTGCTGCTGCTTTTATTATTATTATTATAAGGAAAAAAATACATAATTTCGCATGTTGATCTGAAACCCAACAACCAACGAGGAATATGAACAGGAAAACCAGGCGCTGGATATTCCACATCTTTCTGAGCCTAGGGATTGTCTATATCAAAATTGGGTAAGTCGCCGCCCCCCGTCTCTCCCCCCCCCCTTAAACGCAAACACATCGTGCCAAACCTGCCCGGACCTGTTAGCATTCAACTGGCGGGGGGGGGGGGGAAGGTTGTGTCTGCAAGCGGTTCTTCCCTTTTATTTAAAGCCAGAGTAAGAATATGATTTCTGCTGCTGTTGTTCCCACATTATATTCTAAGTGTGTGGCTCGCGGGGGGGTGGGCGTGTTGGGGAGAGAGAAAACACTTGCTGTGGATGTGCGAGAGGCATGACCAGAATGGCAAGAGGCGGCGGGGAGATCTCCGCTGCTGCCGAGGGCTGGATCTCCGCTGCCCGCTGAAATCCATCCAGGCTTTGCTTTCTAATGCGCGGCGAGGAGCGCTTGAATGAGCTCAGGCGAGACAGGCAGAGAGAGAGCGCGCGCTACCTGCTTCAGCCTCGCTCTTTTTTTGGGCAGACCCAGAGCAAATTTATTTAAAGTGTTTATATTTGGGGTGGGGGCTAAGGGTGAGTTGGCTAGGTTCAAAACCTCCGCCTGATACCGGATCGATGGGTTACGTGGGGAAAGGAAGCAAAAGCGCTCTGCACATGCTCGGCAGCACGATATCCTCCAGGGCTGGGAGACAAGTTCCAGAGCTAAGTTTGCGAACTTCGCCCGCGTTTTGGGATTCCCTTGAGCTCCTAGGGCAAACTCCGGTCCCGCAAACTCTTTGTTCAGCCCTTTCTCGGGACCACTGGCCTGTGGCATCGCAGACACCCCAACTCCTCCGTCAACACCACCGTCAGCGCAAAAAGTCGGCGCTGCCGCTGCTGCCCGCCGCTTGGTACCGCGCAGAAAGTGATGCCTAGGAGGACGCGCGATCCTAAGCAGATGGACCTGCAGACGGGTCTCATTCATTACATCGGAACTTGCTTCCGAATGATGAGGGCTCTTAGCGCGCAGGTTGACGCAGGGCAGTCGCCTTCCCCCAATCCGGACAGCGCGCCTGAGATATGGTTTTTGTATTCAAAGAACCACGGAAATGACGTACAGTTCAGATCTGGCTTGTGGAGCTGGTGAGAGTTAGCCCATTATTGGATTCTCAGGTAGGTTTGGCCCTACTTGGAAACTAGTAGGTGCTTTATACCCGTGAGTGTCTAACTGCACGTGAGTGCTCGCGTGCGCGCGCCAAGCTACACATGACCAGGATCCCCAACGCAGCGCTCACGGGCACTTTGCGAGATGATGTTGGAAGGCGTGTGCGAGCAAGGCCGCTCGGGTGGGGAGCTTAGTTTCTAGACAGAAACGCACCGTTTCAAACGGTGAAAGCTTCTTGATCCCGAGTCTGTGCGCTTTAATTTATATATCAGGAAGTTGGATTGCGCTCTGGGAAAAGCCCACGTGCTCCTCTTTATCCCTGTTTAACACTCTTATCTCCCGAGATCTCGATCTAATTATTGACCCAAATCGCTCCTTTGACTCTTTTCACCCGCAGGCTCCCCGGGGGACTGCTGGGGCGGGCAAGGCAAGCCGAGCCGCGTCGGGCTTGTCTTGGCCACGGGCTGGTTGAGCAAAATGATGTTTTCGGTTCTGCTCGAGTATGTGCCGCAACCTGCCAGTTGACATTAGCAAACAGCACCCGGAAGGGTTGGAGCGAAAATGCTACGTGAAAATGCCTGGGAGAGAGAAAAGGGAGACGGGCACGTTCGCTCTGGTTCGACGCCCCTTACTTAACCCGTGTGTGTATGTGTTGGTTTTGGGGGGCTGGAGGCGGAAGGAGAGGGAATCGTACTAACCAAACTGCTAAGCGTTTAGCTTGGTGAAAAGTTAACACTGTGTAACATCAGCTTCTGCCACGTTTCGAAGGGCAGATCAGGGGCGGAAGAGGGCTTTAAAGGCATCCATGTAGTACTTAGAAGCTGAAAAGACCTGCCACATCTAGCTCCTTCAGAAGGCGTGTTTAAACGATCGACTGTGACCCGGACCTGGTGCTGCTGCCAGCTCCTTCCAGCCTCCACCTTCTCTCTCTCCTTTTCTCGTCCTAGGGGCTTCTCCTCCGTCGTGGCTCTGGGGGCCAGCATCATCTGCAACAAGATCCCGGGCCTAGCTCCTCGGCAGAGGGCGATCTGTCAGAGCAGGCCCGATGCCATCATAGTGATCGGAGAAGGCTCCCAAATGGGCATCAACGAGTGCCAGTTTCAGTTTCGCAATGGACGGTGGAATTGCTCTGCCCTGGGCGAGAGGACGGTTTTTGGAAAAGAGCTGAAAGTGGGTATGTTACCGCTTTACTATAAAAGCTGTGGCAAGGTGGAGCCTCGAGTCCACCGAAGAGTTACCAAAAGAAATGTGTGTGATAGGCAAAGGGTGTGATGGCATCTGCAGGAGGCTGCTTAGGAGAACTGTGATATGCAAAGCCCTGATGTATACTCATCCTTACTAGGTATATAGCCGTTACTCCACTCATAGGCCTACTCCCCTGTGGGAGGCAGTATGCCTCTGCCTACCAGTTGCTGGGAATCACAAGTGGGGAGAGAGAGTACTGTTACACTCAGGTCCTGCTTGCAGAGGTGGATTTAGGGGAACGCGGCCGGTTCGCTTGCACCGGGTGTGGAGCTTCTGGGGCGCCCCAGGGGCTGCCACAACTATGATTTAGAATGGAGCATGAGAGGCGGGGAGGGGCACTGAATTTTGGTGTCGCTGAAATCTAGAGACCCCAAGGTCCACCACTGCTGCTGGAAGGCTTCTCATATGCCTTTGGTTGGCCACAATGAGAACAGGATGTCAGAGAGCAGTGGATTGCATGTTGGGGCAATGCCAAATACTTGACCTCTAGTCAGCTGCATCACTGCTGTTTACTGGGTGGTAGAGGGCAAGGTAGTGGTGAGGTCAGCAGGGTGCAAATGGAGCAGCAGAGCCAATCCAGCCCTCCTATTGGTGCATTTGCATTTGCATTTGCACTGCACCAAACTCCCTGCCGTCTTGCCCCTCCCGCTCTAACTCCCAGTAAGCAGCAGCGAGTGACCTACTGGAGGTCAGGTGAGTAATAGCACCTCACCCCACTGTCTGTCTGTGGTTGTTGGATTATATAAAACTCTGGCCTGATCCAGTGGGGCTTTCGTTATGTTTTTATGTTATCCACGCCCCCCCCCAACCCGCACACATACCACAACTGTTTCTACTGTAAGGCTGCAACCCTCAATACACTTCCTAAGAAATGTCTAATTGAACTCCAGATTTATTTAGGATTGGGTTTCAAGTCTAAACCCAGTTACTAGGGAATAGGTTTCCCTGGACTCAGTGGGGCTTACTTCTGAGTTAAGATGCCCAACAGCATGCTATTTAGGCCTTTCAACCCATAGAGATGGTTTCCAGTGTGTGTCTAGGTTTTACAATCATGTTTCAGAGCAGTTTAAGGTGGCGGTAGGAAAGGTGTAAGCTCTGGATGTGGAAACGCAAGAAAACACTCTTGCACATGGCCTGTCAGAGAGCCTCCCATGCACTACTGTATATGGGAGAATGTTGATGAAATGTGGGGGATAACCCTTTTAAAATCAAATGTTCATTCTAGCCAATACAGCTTTTACATTTGCATTACCAAAACTGGTTTCAGACTGAGGTGTGGAAATGCTCAAACCCTGTGATCATGTAAAGTGGATTAACTGCTTTTTGACATTCTTTAAATCAGGAGGCAAGGTGGTTAAAGGGTGACAAAAGTGTGGATTGTCTTGGCAGAACTGATTTTGGTCTAATTAGCACATTGTACAGTAGTGTGGTCTAAGACAGGTCCTACACATCTGAGAAGCTCACTTAGCTTCTTAACTATTCTACTTTTCTAGGTTTACAAAGACATCTGTTCCTATTCTTTAAACTCAGAAGTCTTAGAGATTAGCATTTGATGGTGACTAGGAATGGTGTCTTCTGTGGCAGTGATTCCTGAACCATGGTTCAGCAGTCTGGACCCACCAGTGAGCTGTGGAAACCATAGCTGTCAACGTTTCCCTTTTTAAAAGAGAAATTCCCTTATTCTGAATAGGATTCCTCGCAAGAAAAGAGAAAAGTTGACAGCTATGGTGGAAACATGGTATGTGGGCTCACTGTATCTGGAATGGGTTATGTTTCCAGGGTGTCAAAACTAGGTTCAGGTCAGATTATTAGAGCTTCACTGTTATATTTAGGCTTGGAATAAAGGGGAAGAGCCTAGATAATCACAATTTGGGAACCATAGTGTGTGGCTTAAAAAACACAGAGCCACTGCCATTGTTTTTAATCAATGAATGGCAATAATAATATCGTCACTGATGATGGATTACATCAGTTTCCCTGCAGTTATGGTTTTTTCCTTACTGATTTTTACATATTGAATCATAGAACTGTAGAGTTGGAAGGGACCACGAGGGTCATCTAGTCCTACCCCCTGCAATGCAGGGAACTTTGTTCCCAATGTGGGGCTTGAACCCACGACCCTGAGATTAAGAATCTCATGCTCTACTGACTGAGCTATCCAGAAATGTGAACTAGATCAGAATGATATAGACATTCCATGCTGAACTCTCAGATATGGGGTATCTGTGTTTTATTGTTTGATTATTGCGCCACGGATAATAGCAGTTTGTTTTGGACTGTGGTCAATCACTTTTGCGTTGCATTTGAAATTCAGCTGTTTTTTTCGTTGTTAGTTTATTTACTCAAAAAAGTCCTAGCAATTCACTTATCAAATGCACACATATGGTATATAAGGATGTGCCTTGGTGGCTATTGTGTTTGGATAAATGAGTAATCAAAATCGGAGAAATAAATAATACAAACTGAATGTCTTCCACAACAATTAACATTAAAACCAAAAACAAATTAACATTATTAATATGTTATCTTATTTTTGTGCTTGTATAACAAAGCTCCCTTGGGGGTGCATCTGAGGTAAGGAGTTATTTGTCAGAAGTTGTGTTGCTTTCTCTCCAAATGCGCAATGTAATAACTATCTTGCTATCCATGATTTTCATCCACTTTTCTCTCACGTAAGTGTAATAGACAGCAAGCCCAACAATATTGACTGGGAGCCCCTATAAGCACATGGTTAAATATTGACTTTGCTTTTATAGTGATTTTATAGCCACCACCCACACAGTTTAGTCTTGTGAAAAATGTGATTTCATGATGGCTTCGCTCTGGATGAAACTTTCAGCGTTTAGTCTGTAGTACCAAGCCATTTCTGAACACAATGAGACATATTAAGGGCAGAGTTCCAGGCCTGTGATTGTGAGGTACTTTTAATCCGCCATCAAAACTGTAGCACATAATGACACAAATTCCGCTTTCAGAGGCGGCATGCGGGCACCTATGACTCCGGACCTATGGATTGCTGGAATGGAGCCAGTCAAAGTGCAAAGATTCTTGAGGAGAAAGAGCATTGACAGAGTCCTGCGGCAGCCTAAGGGGCTTGTGAATGAGGAGGCTGGTATGCTCAAGGGACATCTGGACTCTTTATTTGTCAGGAGTGGTTATCCAACCCCATTTAATCTTAATCCACCAGTGTTTAGCTGTGAATCAAAGCCAATGCAGTTGAGAGAGCAACCTTGAACATTTATAGTCTACCTTTTCCTCCAAGGACCTCAGCGGGGTACCCGTGGTCCTCCCTGCCCCCCATTTCATCCTCAGAACAAACTTGTGAGATAAGTTAGGCTGAGAGGCAGTGACTGGCATAAAGGTTGCCCGGTGAGATTCATGGCTAAGTGGGGATTTGAACCCAGGTATCCCAGGCCCTTCTCCAACACTTCAATCCAGGCATAGGCAAACTCAGCCCTCCAGATGTTTTGGGACTACAGTTCCCATCATCCCTGACCACTGGTCCTGTTAGCTAGGGATCATGGGAGTTGTAGTCCCAAAAAACATCTGGAGGGCCGAGGTTGAGGAAGTTTAGTCAGATAGCAAGATATTTCTTCTTAAAATGCTCCAAATGTCAATGGAATGGTGGGATCTTCAGAATCCCTGCAACTCAGGCACTTTCAAGTTGTTTATTCAACAGCAGATACGCAGAATATGAGGAGGGAGAATATTGGGAAATGGAGGGAGAATATTGTCACCTCAGCTTCAGTGGTGTTGGTCTAACCTTATTGTCGTATTTTAAGGACAATTATCTTCAGAATAATAGTAACAAGCGGGTTAGTTATGCTGGCCACATGACCTGGAAAGCTGTCTGCGGACAAACACCGGCTCCCTCGGCCTGAATGCAGAGATGAGCACCATACTCTATAGTCTAATTTGGCTGGACCTAACCTTCCACGGATCCTTTTCCGGTTTTTTTTAACAACAACAACAAATTATTTGTATGCTGCCCACCTGACTGGGTCACCCCAGCCACACTGGACGGCTTCCAATAAATCAAAACACAGGGGCAATGGGCAGAAGATTATTGTCCCTTGTACTTCAGACCACGTGTGCTTATTCATATGTCTGTGGTTAGCTCACTGGTTCTAACAGAGAGTGACATTTATTTCATAAAATTTATACACAGCTTTTTTTTGTAAAATAAATAAACAAACAAAAACAAACAAACCTTGAAGATAATACAGTAAAATAGAGGAAAAAAATACAACCCTACTTTAAAATATGGAGGACTTTAAACACTAAAAACAGATTATATAAACAATTGAATGGATCTCTGTTTTAAGGAAGCCTCGGCAGGGACCTTAAAGGTAATCTGGAGTAGGCCCTTTCAAGAAATTGACAGCATTCTTCTTCTTCTTCTTCTTCTTCTCCTCCTCCTCCTCCTCCTCCTTGCAAACCTGAGCCTCTTCAAGAGCAGGTCAGGTTGTCTGCCATCCCTAAGATCTGTCCTCACACCCCTCTGACATCTGACAAGATGACCTTTTGGAACTAGGAGTGGTCTGTGCTATGAGTTTGCCTGGGACACACAAGCACAGGTGCACACAAGTGTGTGCACAAAGTCATACATACAAATAGTATTTGTACCTGCTGGCCCTTAAAATTTCCCCTTGCTTCATTCATTCTGCCATTCTTATCTGTTTCCAGTTTATCCTCTCAGCAGTTTCACAGACGTGCTTTTAGAAGAGGCATATATACTCAGTAAGCTTTCCTATCTCTTTAAGAATGGCACCTAATGTACAACATGCCACTGCCCACCTCCGTTGCTGTTGGTCCCACCCAATGCATCTTTACTCAGAAGCCAGTCCAGCCAGTTCAGCAGGGCTCATTCTCATAGGATTTCTGCTTTGGACACATCCAAAAAACACCACTTGCAGATCTGACTTTCCAGTGGTTTTCTGTGCTGAGCTACAAAAGCCACTTCTGCCTCAGGTTAGTTTTGAAACGAAACATGCTGGGAGTTCAGAGAATGCTGCTGCTGAAGAGGCAGAGGCTGGGGAAACCCAGGTCCACAGATTGGTCTGTCAGGCTCACGCTTGCTTGGAAGTCCACCTAAATTGGATAGGAATCCTGTGACTTGACTCGAGTTGAATCTGGGCCAAGCGAAAGCAAATGCACTGGGCAGCTCTTCTGACTTACTATTGTTTATTCAATTTATATCCCACCCTTCCTCTTGAAGGAGGCCAGGGCAGCGTGGAAGGAAGTAGCTTCATTGAGGTTGGAGATGGAAATGGGAATAGTTTGAAAAAGATTTGGAAGTAGTTTGAGAAAGGCTTCACTTCCCATGGTACACACACGCAAACACTTTTTGTCGTAATGTCGCTTCTGGTCAAACAGGGTTGGCTGGTGTTTGAAACAACATAAAAATGTTGCAAAACCTGTTTGCAAATGGTGAAAGTGCAGGGCATCCCAAGCATGCAGGCGCCTATGGGCAGACCACCCCTATGCATGCAAACCATGAGCAGGGGTCCTCTTTTTGAATTACCTTAAACTCTTCTACAGCATGCCACCTTCCAAACCTATTGCATCTGTCTCCAGCTTAGTTGCTGAACGGGATCTTCTGGCACACTCAAGCTCAAAATCCCGGGCTGTTCTTGGGCATCCAAGCCACGCAGGTGCCAGGATCACAATTCATTAACTCCCTCCAAGTTCACAACATTTAGCAGCACTTTCTCAGATTCAAACCTGGCAACTGTCCTCGTTCGTGCCTTACCCTGACGCTGAAGAGTTGGATGGCTGCCTTTGAAGGCTTCTTTGAAAGTTGAGTCATTGCTTACAGAGGCCCTCCAGGCAGGCAGGCTGGGAGCGACAATGCAGCAGGCAGACTAGGTAGCTGGCGAGGGTGTCAAAATTAAAGGGATCTCTTCCTCGATGGCATCAGTGGGCGAGCAGGATCCCTTATGCAACCTCAACCATGGATGGCTTTCAGGAGAAACTGAGAGTGTTCTCCAAAACCCACTGAAGATTATAAAGGGATCTGAGGTGCTCATCAGTTTGTTCTTGTTCTGTCATATCTGAAATGGCAAAAAGCATTGAGCTTGCTCTACTGATTGATGGTGGAGCATGAAGCATATTATACCAGTGTTGTGATGCCTGCATTAGCCTACTGGGCATAATTCAACGTGCTTCCTTGATTATAATCAAGAGAATCCTACAGCAGTGTTTCAAGGCTACATTCTTATGTCCCATCGTAGGTCGTAGGATAATTTTGTTTGATCCCCTTTTTAAAGTGAACTGACTTCATTTGTACCTCTCAGACTAATACACAGTTAATGCAATTATCCTTTGGAGTTCACAGGTTTTTGAATTTACTGAACCAGGTTGGAGGGACCTGTGCCCCTCCCGATGTTGCTAGACGCCATCATCCCCGCCAACAGGCCAGGTTTGCAGAGGCTGGTGGGAAATGGAGCTCAGCAACATCTGGAGAGTTGTAGGTTTCTGACTCCTGTATGATAACAGTAATATACCAAAATGCTTTTAATAATAGTACTTTAGATGAAAAAACATTTAGAAATGAGATAAAATACACATTTTAAATATGTATCTTTTAAATACAGATGGCCATATGGATTCAGACTTTGTTTAGGCAGACTGATGTAAACATGGGAAGGAAGGGTGCATGAACACACGTGAAACTGAAATATTTATTTATTAATTGAATTGGTTTCCTGCCCTTCTCCCAAAGAAGCCCAATTCAAAAAGTTAAAACAGTACAATTAAAAATATAAACCTTTAAAAAACATTGGGGGGGGGGGGAATCTAAAACATTTAGGTAAAGGTAAAGGACCCCTGGACAGTTAAGTCCAGTCAAAGGTGACTATGGGGTTGTGGCGCTCATCTCGCTTTCAGGCCGAGGGAGCTGACGTTTGTCCACAGACAGCTTTCCGGGTCATGTGGTCAGCATGACTAAACTGCTTCTGGTGCAACGAAATACCGTGACGTAAGCTAGAGCACATGGAAACACCATTTACCTTTCCACCACAGCGGTACCTATTTATTTGCTTGCACTGGTGTGCTTTCGAACTGCTAGGTTGGCAGAAGCTGAGACAGAGCAACGGGAGCTCACTCAGTCGTGGGGATTCGAACCGCTGACCTTCTGACCGGCAAGCCCAAGAGGCTCAGTGGTTTAGACCACAGCGTCACCCGCATCAAAAACATTCACAAAGATTTAGAATACCTAAAAACATTTAACACATTTACTTGGCCTGCCAAGGGTTCAGATTTGACCCACAAAGTAATTTCTCCCAAACCACACCCCCATGCCCCACACCTGATGCCACATGTGATGTCAGGTGTGAGGCAGGTAGAGATGCAATTGCCAATGCACATCTGGGAGTCTTAAAGTGCAGTCCCAATTCTGCACTGGCAAGGGAAAGTAAACTTCGGTTCAAGGGCCCATGAGGAGGATTTCCCCCCCACAAAGTGTGTGTGTGTTGCAATTGAGAAAGGAAGGATTCAATTTATCTGCAATTTTTCTCGCAGATGTTCCATTGAAATGCATGGGAGTTTCACATGAGCGTGGTGTCTTTTGCAGCTTCCATTCATTGCTGTAAGACTTGCAGATAACTTCCCAGTACAGAAGTGGCCCCAATGCCTCTAATATGCTCAACTGTGGACTAGTTTGTATACATTAGGGATGGACAAATCTGTCAGTTTCTCATTTTCCCAATCTTAAATTCAGTTCTCCACATTTCCATCCCAATTTGTTATAAAAACAAATCCTCATAAAACTGTATCCACACTTTAGTGCAAGTTGCTCCTACAAACATATTTTTATATGCAGTTTCGCTTAACACAAACATTTTCCAAGCAATTTCTCCTAATGTAATGCACGTTTGCGTGCTATTTTTTACCGAAGTATGCATTTTGATGCACATTTTACCTCAGGGTATGCATTTTTGTACACGTTACTTGGCTGGTGAATTGCATTGCAAAATTCAGAGATGGGCAAATTTCAAAGGATGACTGTGTTTTGGTCCCCATATTGTTTGTGATTACTTATGTTCATCCTTAAATGCAAACTGAATCAAATTTTCCCCATCCCTAAATTAAAGTCAAAGGGGTTTTTTTATTTAAAAAGTGTGCTTGTGTCAGTTTCAGCATTTGCTGTATCGCTTTAGTTCCTCCAGTTCTGACCTTATCAGTGCCACTTAACTATGATTAAAAAAAGAACTATGAACATTACCTAATGTGTGTAGATTGATTGTTTTTCTTAGTCTAGCTGTTTCAAGAGGCTACAGGAAACCAGCGGTCTACCACTCCAATTTTCAATAAAGCCATTAGAGAAGCACAAATGTTCAGTGATTTCACTGAGACTCTAAAGTAACCCAAGATGAAATCAGACAAACAACAATGAAAAGATTTTACTGCATTGTATTGCTGTAATACCATTATTCTGTTCTATTACTGCAACAAATGTGTAGGTATCCTAATCACATTGAATAATATTTTGCTCTTGAGTTTGGGAAGATGCACCAACATAACCTGTATGCTAATAGAAGCTGTGTGTATATATATCGTCGAAGGCAGGTCACCTTGAATACAAATGGTACATATTTCCTAAGCATCTTTCCTTGAAAGTAAGCTCTATTGGCTTCATTTCAATCTATTTTATAATATGAGCAGATTTGAGAGAGGAAAGAGAGAGAAATGTTCCTCATTTCTTGTTGCTGAAACAATTCTGTTTTTTTTTTTAAATAATTTTTATTAAAGTTTTGAACAACAGAAAGAAAAGAAAAACATACACAATACATATAACAAAAACACACACACAAAAAACAAGATTCAACAATAAAAGAACAGAAAACATAACAATTAAAAACAATATCTCTTTTCCATTTCCGTTTTTTTGTTACTTATTTTCTGGACTTCCTCATACCTCCCTCTTTTGTATTCCAATCCAAATTGTTTGTCCAGCAATTTCTTTTCCACTTTTTTAATCCCAATCTTTAGCTTTAATAAGATATTGAAATATATAACTTCAACTTCTTTAAACCTGATCTTTGGTCTTAGTATCATATAACATTAAAATTTTCCCTCTTAATGTCAAATTTCCATTTCTTTAAACATCTTTAATCCTAATTTTTAATCTTAGTCTATCATTAACTTTAACCTGTACAGCTGGAAACCGCTTATTTTCAATCCAACATCACTCTAACATTCTTTAATTTTGCAATGTTTCTGAAGATAGTCTTTGAATTTCTTCCAATCTTCCTCCATCGACTCTTCTCCCTGGCCACGGATTCTACCAGTCATTTCCGCCAATTCCATATAGTCCATAAGTTTCATCTGCCATTCCTCCAGCGTGGGAAGTTCTTGTGTCTTCCAATACTTTGCGATGAGTATTCTTGCTGCTGTTGTTGCATACATAAAGAAAGTTCTATCCTTTTTAACACCATTTGGCCGACTATGCCCAGGAGAAAGGCCTCTGGTTTCTTAGGGAAGGTATACTTAAATACCTTTTTAATTCATTATATATCATTTCCCAGAAAGCCTTAATCTTTGGGCACGTCCACCAAAGGTGAAAAAATGTACCTTCAGTTTCTTTACATTTCCAACATTTGTTATCGGGCAAGTGATAGATTTTTGCAAGCTTGACTGGGGTTGTGTACCATCTGTATATCATTTTCATAATATTCTCTCTTAAGGCATTACATGCCGTAAATTTCATACCTGTGGTCCATAACTGTTCCCAGTCAGCAAACATAATATTATGTCCAACGTCCTGTGCCCATTTAATCATAGCCGATTTTACCGTTTCATCCTGAGTATTCCATTTCAGCAGCAAGTTGTACATTCTTGACAAATTCTTAGTTTTGGGTTCTAACAATTCTGTTTCTAATTTGGATCTTTCCACCTGGAAGCCAATTTTCCTGTCCAATTTAAATGCCTCCATTATCTGATAATAATGAAGCCAGTCTCGCACTATGTTTTATAGTTTTTCAAAACTCTGCAATTTCAGTCTATCTCCGTCTTGTTCCAAAATTTCCCAATATTTCGGCCATTTGACCTCCATATTGACCTTTTTCAAGGCTTTTGCTTCCATTGGTGACAGCCACCTTGGGGTTTTGTTTTCTAGCAAATCCTTATATCTTAACCAAACATTAAATAGCGCTTTCCTGACAATGTGGTTTCTAAATGCTTTATGTGCTTTGACCTTATCATACCATAGATATGCATGCCATCCAAATACATTATTAAAACCTTCCAAGTCCAAAATGTCAGTGTTTTCAAGAAGTAGCCATTCTTTCAACCAGCAAAAAGCTGCTGATTCATAGTAAAGTTTGAGGTCTGGCAGGGCAAATCCACCTCTTTCCTTTGCATCTGTTAGTATTTTAAATTTTATTCTGGGCTTCTTGCCCTGCCAGACAAATTTAGAAATATCTTTCTGCCACCTCTTGAAACAATCCATTTTGTCCACAATCTGCAAAGTTTGGAACAAAAACAACATTCTAGGCAATACATTCATTTTTATCGCAGCAATACGGCCCAGCAGTGAAAGCTTCAAATTTGACCAAATTTCTAAATCTTTTTTTCACTTCAGACCAGCATTTTTCATAGTTATCTTTAAATAAGTTCCCATTTTTTGCTGTCATGTTAATCCCCAAATATTTAACTTTCTTAACCACTGTTAAACCTGTCTCATTCTGAAACCTCTCTCTTTCAATCGGTGTTAAATTTTTCTCTAAAACCTTGGTTTTTGACTTATTCAGTTTAAATTCTGCCACTTGACCAAATTCTTAAATCAGTTCTAAAACCCTTTTAGTACTAGATTCTGGCTCCTGTAACGTCAATACTAAGTCATCTGCAGTTGCTGGAACAATTCTGATACTCCCAATGGAAGTTGTAAGTTCAGTGTAGATAAAAAGAAAACACACATAATTAAATTAAAGGATTCACTAGAAATGGTAAACTCTAGAAGCTTAAAGTGTTTTAAAAGGGGAAGGGGGAAGGATTGGATAAATTAAGGGAGAATAGTCCTATTAACAGTTACTAGTCATGATACTTAAATGGAACACCCTTTTTCTGAACCCATATACTACTGGGAATCAGTAACATAGAAGGTGGAAAGAGCATCACTTTTATGTTCTCCCTTGCTTATGAACATCCAGAAATATCAGGTCAGCTCCTTCTGGAAACGCTGGAGTAAGACTGCAAGGAAGCAACCTCTGTTGAACTCAATACGGCTTAGTTCCAATTATATATCTATAGGACTGCACTGTGAATGGGGATTCAGTACCATCCCTGTTGCACAGGAGGGCAAAGTGATCTACTTTGAATACTGAAACACTGCTGATCATATCAAAATGTGTATTGCATATGAATGGGTGGGTCAGTTTATTTCTCACCGGTGTCCATTTCACATGTATTCATTCATAAATCCATTTCCCATCCATCTATGAAAATTACATTTTTTAACCAATTCAGTTCAAACAAACAAAATGAGCATAGCTGATAAGATACATCAGTTTGATTCCTTTTAACATAGCCTTCCAGATAAGTCCATCCCTAGATCTAAGTATGGATTACAAGATACACACATTTTCTAAATCAGGCTAAGCAAAGCAAATCCTAAAATCTTACCTGCATCTGAAAGGTTAGTATCAGGGCAAAGGAGATGCTCTACCCAGGAAAGGTAGAGAATATGCTTTGCATGCAGAAGGTCCCACATTTAATCCCTGACATCAACTTCAGTTTAAAATAGGATCAGGAAGCAGATGGTGAATAAGGCTCCAATCTGAGATCCCAAAGAACAGCTACTATTCAGAGTAGACTCGTATAGAATTGTAGAGTTGGAAGGGACTAGATGAGCAAATGGACTAAATGGACAAATGCTACCACCTAGAATAAGGTAGCTTCCTATGTTATACAGAATAATTCAGAAGCTGTTCTCAAGGAGATCAGCATGGGACTTAGAAGAGGATCTTTGATGTATGCTGGTCCCAGTACATTCAAGAATGAATGTAATCATGCTTTAGTCTTCTGGTGTGGTTCTCTTTGGGACCCAACCCTATAATTTGGTTTCACTGAAGGATGCTCAAGATCTAAGCAAGAATATCATTGATTGTAAGGTAATGCTCCTATAACGCATAATGTCCTTGAACTCCAAAGAGATTTTTAGACTGAGTCCAAATCCAGTTTAGCTGATGCACTGTGGCTATAGATGGCTTTGAATTCAAGTATTGAAGAACGTGGATAGCTAAAACTGAAATCTGTGTGTCCATGCAACATCCTGGATCACAGCCTATCATCATCTGGTGAAATGTAATGTAATGATCTTCACTCTTTCAATTTGCTCTTTTGGAAAAAGTGTTCATCAAAATATATGAGAAGACCAGTACACATTCGTTGAACTAACAATGGATTAGATGTTCTCCTGTTGTAAAGGACTCTGTGGGTTTTAAAGAAGCAGTACCAACTTGGTACAGGCAAGGATCTGGCCCAATTCATTAAAAGTCAATTTTAATGATATTATATCTTGAAATTTATACACTGAAATCCTTTCAGCAGAATACTAGATGATAATCCCATTACAATTTGAATGGACATGGACAACTAATTTTATTAGCATGCCTGACTGATGATGTGATCAAATGACTCATTTATTAAGAAAATCATAATTGTGCTTGTCACTCAGCATGGCAGAATTGCATGCCGCTTTGGATGACTCACAAAATTGGCTTACCCACCGAAAGCTGATTGACTGGTATGAGAAACACTATTCCATATCTAAGGACGCCTGCATAAAAGGAATTGTTGTCTCATTGACCCAAATACATGTTCCAGGGAGATGTCAGGGGAGGCCATGGATCCACACCCCAAACAGGCCCTCCAAGTAGCCCTGCTTCTGATATGGTTAATTCCCTCCCATTGCAGTCAATGGGAGGAGCAGAGATGGTTGGGGGGGGAATAGGAAAAGGGAGATGTGTCCCACTTTATACCTACCCCTTAGCTAGTCATCAGAGCTTAGGATGTGGCAGTAGTTCTGAAAGGATTCTCCCCTGCCCAACACCCACACACCCACAATAGGATTTATAGGTGCTGGGTTCCGCCCAGCTTTGGGGCCTGCCGCCATGGCTGTGGGGAGGCCCACTGGGCCCCTCATAGTGAGGCCTGACGGGGTCTGGCCCCTCAAGATTGGGGGTGCTTAGCTAAATCGCAATATGTTTTGGGAATTGGTGCCTATGATAGTATTCCTTTTCCCACCTCCTTTCAGCCTGTTACTACTGTTTTAGTTAATAATAATAATAATAATAATAATAATAATACTATATTATTTATACCCCGCCCACCTGCTGGGTTTCCCCAACCACTCTGGGCAGCTCCCAACAGAATATTAAAAACACGATAAAACATCAAACATTAAAAACTTCCCTAGACAGGGCTGCCTTCAGATGTCTTCTAAAAGTAAGATAGTTGTTTATTTCCTTGACATCTGATGGGAGGGCGTTCCCCAGGGTGGGCGCCACCACCAAGAAGGCCCTCTGTCTGGTTTCCTTAGTATCCCCCAGTTTACAAGTTTTCTGCTGCATTGTATTCTATTGTCACAGTTATCAAATTTTTAACTTTGTTTTCTTTTATGTTTTAAGGTATAACTGCCTTATGAATACCATGAATAAAATAGTATAGTGGTACCTCGGGTTACATACGCTTCCGGTTACATACGCTTCAGGGTACAGACTCCGCTAACCCAGAAATATTACCTCGGGTTAAGAACTTTGCTTCAGGATGAGAACAGAAATCGTGCTCCGGCGGCGCGGCAGCAGCAGGAGGCCCCATTAGCTAAAGTGGTGCTTCAGGTTAAGAACAGTTCCAGGTTAAGAACGGACATCCGGAACGATTTAAGTACTTAACCTGAGGTACCACTGTATATTATTAGAAACCTCCACTGGGCCAATAGCCCTGGCATTGCCAAATTCTACGGTGGCTGCATGACCACTTCAGTGAACGTAATTTCAGAGACCAGATGCTGAGCTAGAAAGAGCTAGAATGCCACTTGCTCCATACAGCACTTTCCGTTTTAACTGGGTCTGTAGAATTTCCGCATATGGTGAGGTGTACTCAGGAAAGCACCTGATCGTTAAGGTATGATGCTGCGTTGTGACATGCTTTAGTTTGACATGGGGTTTAAATGAGCAGAAGTGTAAAATGAGCCTTAGGCCAACACTGAAAGAATCTCAGTCAGAGATGCTCAGTGATTCAGTGAGTTCGGTTAGGATGTTAATGTCTCTGTGCTCATGCCACATTCTTTCCCAGTAGCCAACAACATCATAACTTGTTCATTAGTGAAAACAATACCTTCTGAGTCTGCAAAAATGAAGCTATTTGTAAAACCCAAAGTAAACTGAATTAGAGCAGGTCTACAAGACGGTCATTCCTTCTTCATGGGAAACCCTGAAAATTGTAATTAAGAGTTTCTAATAATCACCTCAACAAACTACAATTTCCATGATTCTTTGGGAATAAAAAATAGTCTATGCTTGTACTTTGGATATGCCCCTAACATGCTTGTACTTTGGATATGCCCCTAACATCCCCATTTACATCAGGGCAATATAACATTCATCTGATATTTTCTGTAAAGCAATATTTGGTCCTGGATTACTGTAAAGGAACTTTCAAAGATATGAAGGGAAATATTCCTAAAGACTACTTTTGATATTTATTTTAGATGGGCTTGAAACTGCCTTCCCTTCCTTTCAATATGTTTCCTATCCTTATTTGGAACATAGTTTTTAAAAAAGAAGTAGAATTTTAACAGAGTCCCTCCACCCGCCTGCCAACCAAGGCCCTTATCTTTTGTGACCATCCCCTTAGCTACCGTTTTCAGAGGACTATGAGTGGTGCATGATTTGGCTAAATTTGATATGAGATTCAAGGCAAGGCATATAGGTTCTATTAAGGAACCCCATACTTTACCTCCATAATTTGTGCATTGTAATACGGGCAAGGACAAACAGATTAGGAAGAACCAAATATGTCTTGTATCCATCACAGAACTGAGACCCACTCGGCACTCCATCCAATGAGACTGCAGAAATTTGCCGCAGGATGGCAAAACTGTCTCCTATATAGCGTGTCCTCCCTAAAAGAGGGCACATGTTGTGGTGAGACCTGGACACTGACCTCTTGGTTGTGGGTGGGTCTATTGGACAGCCACAACACCCGATTGGTAGGTCCCTCATTGCTGGGTTTAATCTGGCCAATGGGGAGCTGTCTAGACGGGCCAAGGGACCTATATAAACCCATGCATGTGACCCAGAGTTTCCACTTTTGGCTTGTGCATCGGAACACCTGGCCACCTCTTCCTATATTTAGGGCATTTTGCGACTGACCTTGCTATGCCGTCGTGTGTCGTCTGTCGTTGGGACGGGGGCACGGCAGGAATTTTCCCACTTGGCCAATTGGCTGTTGCCATTTGGGTTTCGCCTGCACAACTTGTAAGGTTGCGGATGGGCACTGGTTCATGTGATAGGGATGGGAGAACAGTCTTGCCATCCCTATGTGAAGGATATTTCGTTAAAGGAATCCAGGGACTCAACTTGGTTTGGCTAACCCCCGAAAAGGGGTTGTGCCCATTCCTGAGTCCAGGGGAGCATCTAGGGAGTGAATAGAGTCTATTCCCAGGCTTTTCACCTGCCTCAGGTGTTCACCCTTGGCTGACTATGATAGAGCTCTTGGTCAGCGCTACCTGCAAGGGTGTAGGGAGCTAGTCAAACCAGAGCCTATGCAACCACTCACTTTTCTGTTATCAAGAAAGTTGTGGCCTAAATTCTGCCAAAAACCAAAGCTAAAATTTGAGTCAAATGTGTGTTTATTTAGGGGGGAGGTCTCTGGGTCTGAACATGCAAATAACATACACCGTGCAGACTTTATTTTCCACACAGTGTCAATGAATCTTCAACATGATGGTCAAACAATTGAGAGCCAATGCAGATGCTACTGGAGCTGTAGCACCCTTTCTCTTAAAATACCTGTTCATAAGAGTGATCTACTCTCATGGTGTGAGAGCATTAGTGTGTTAGGCTACTGGTCCTCTTCTGTGAACAGGAAAAGCCACAAGTTGCCATTTTCCTGTTCATGACAGGGAAAGGAAAATATTGTGTGAATTTGCTCTTCCCAAGTAAGGCTCCTCACTTAGATGGAACATGTGTGTGATCAGTTTTTTTACAGGGATTAGGAACATCTGTACTGGGTTAATGAACTACTGCCTCTTCAGGAAATGAGTGATAATTTTGTTTTGACTTCACTGGGATCAATATATGTATGTAAATAATTTGTGTACATGACATTTTATAACTGTGAAGACACAGGGACAGAGTTATTGGGAGTTTTTTCCCCCCTTTGGAGGCAGCTAGAAAAGTATTCTTGCAAAAACAGAAGCCAGGTTGGAAATCTGGCACTGAGTATTTAAAAACCAGCACGATGCTTTATGCCAGAGAGTCAATCTTTCTAGGCAGTGACTGTCATAGTAAGATAAAAAACATTGCCCCAAGGTCACTTTTGCAGGAATTCTCATTTCATACCTGCCTTCAAATGTATCTTGTGAGTACATGTTTGGGAGAAGAAACAAAAAGATTACATTACAGTATGTTAGAAGGGTAGGATATCTTAACATTTACTAAAGTTCTGCTTATAACTTTCTCTAAAAGAAAACAAAAAAAAAATTATGTCACAATGTCATATAAAAGTTTGGTACACAAGAAAAAAAGCAATCCCTCTGCATTGAAAAATGATGTTTACGTGCAGTGAAATAATGATTTTGTGATTATACATGTTTGGGGAATGTAGAGTGGATCTTTTTTTAAAAAACAAAAAACAAAAACCACCACTAAAGCATTTGGGCTGAAATCCAGCACAAAATTAGTGCATTTACAGCATAATCCTAAACCTATTTACTCAGAAGTTAGTCTCACTGTGTTGAATGGAACTTTCTCCCTAATAAGTGCTTTTAGGAGTGCACATTAAAATGAATGGCAGGAGAGTCAACTTGAATAAAATATTGTTGGGCCCAGGTAAGGCCTGCCCCACATAATCTATCACATGATGCAGTGCACTCACACCATGAACTATGTGGGGGCCCTCAAATATTTTATTGTGGAGGCAGAAGCCCCCACAGCCCCTAAGCATTGGCTCCCATGATGAATGGACTAAAGTATGTGTAAACCTGTGTTCAGTTACTTAGTTATTTTTTTACCTCCATTCACCAAACATGTTCACAGGCCAATTTACAAAAAAATGTGGTAATAGAAAACACAATAAACTAATAATGAAATGCCTTCCATAGTTCTGGTTACAGGTAGGTAGCTGTGTTGGTCTGCTGTAGTCAAAACGAAATTAAAAAATTCCTTCCAGTAGCACCTTAGAGACCTTCTTCAGATCTGAAGAAGTGTGCATGCACACAAAAGCTCATACCAATAACAAACTTAGTTGGTCTCTAAGGTGCTACTGTTGTCTTTGTCCATGGGGTTTTCTTGGCAGGGATACTGGAGTGGCTTGCCGGTTCCTGCTCCAGGACAGTGTTCTCGAAGCTACCAGCATGAGTTTGACCAAACTGCGGGAGGCAGTGGAAGACAGGAGTGCCTGGCGTGCTCTGGTCCATGGGGTCACGAAGAGTCGGACACGACTAAATGACTAAACAACAACAACAAGATGCTACTGGAAGGAATTTTTTTGTTTGGTTAAAAATGAAATGTGATTCTCAAATTACATTAATAACATAGCATCATCATTAAAATAACTTAACCCACCAACCTCTAAAAGCCTGACAAAAAGCGAGTTGTCATCTGGCATTTAAAAGAATGTAAACTTGAGTCATGGTGACCTTCAGTGGGGAGATCATGCCATTGATTCTGAGCCACTACCAAAAAGGCCCTTTCACAAGCCCCTGCCAGGAAGTCTCAGGAGTGCCTCTTAATAATCTTAATATGTGGACAAATTGATATGAGACAAGGCTCCTTCTGCACTGCAGGAGGTTGGACTAGATGCCTCTCGGGGTCCCTTCCAACTCTACTATTTTATGCTTCTATGATGTTTTAGCTTTCTAAGTTGGGTAGAAAGTTCAGTACTAAACACAACTTTCAGTTGGGCTTGTTAGTTATGGAGGTTTTTTGTTTTTCCTTGCATTTCCTCTCTCACTTGTTTTGCTCCTCTTTCTGAAACATAACAAAACAGGCAAAAAATCCATTCATGCATTCCGATCCATTAAGTTGGCAACTGTTTCATAGCTAACACGTTTCAAAGGCAGTATGCTTTGGGCGGCATTTTTCTACTTGATTCCACAAGCTGAAGAATAGACTCCCCCCCAGGCCCAATCGAATAACACCAGTGAAATGTGGTGGGTGTTCTGCATCTTGCAGGATCTAGCTATTTATCAGAGCAATGGGTATCTTATATAACTTTCAAGGCCACCATTTTTCATTGCAAGGGTTTTGTTTAATGGTCATGTCTGTAGTGAATGATGGAATAGAAGGAGGCAGATCCAGCTAATCGGGGGAAAGATGGGTCCTCGTCTCCAATTTGCTGCCTATGAATTATGACTTCTATAGAGATGTGAAATAATGCAGCTTATGGCACATAATTGGCAAGCTCTGCTGTATTTTCCATCTTTATATTTTCACAATCAACATATAATTCAGCACATGTCTCTTCAGATAACTCCCTCCCTGACCTCTTGGCTTTAAATAGCAGAAAATGCAACGTATGTTTTCCAGGGAGATTAATACAAATTTGTCTTTTTTATTTCCTAGAATACCTAATTTATGGCACAGCTGGTTTGGTGGTTCTAAACATTTTCGGAGCCCAATGTCCACTATGATAGGAGTTGTTCTACAGAGGAAACTCCCTCCTTTCTCTTTACTTCCTTGAGACTACTGAGTGCAGGGCTGAAGTGAGGATTTTTAACAGTCAAACCTATGTATATTTACCTCATAGAATTGTATAATTGGAAAGGGCCATCATGGCCAACCCTCTGCAGTGCAGGGATCCTTTACCCCATGTGGGGCTCGAACGCATGAGCCTGGGATTAAGAGTCTCATGCTCTACAGACTGAACTATCATAAGTAACTCTCAGAATTCAATGTGATTTATCCCCTAAGTCTCACTGATGTCCATGGGGGGTATATGAAAGCAAATATGAATACTGTTTGTAAATCTCTTGTCCAAAGTAACAATGAGTTTTATTAGGGCATAGGAACTTTCTGTAAATACTTTAACCTACATTTATGAAAAATATAAAACTCTTTGAAAGAAAGCTGTTCTTTATTCCATCCATCCCAATATATTGATCGTATTCCCTCCCCCGCCCCCGCTGATAAAGTATTGCATGCTTTTTCAAGAGAGGGTGTGTACCACTGCTCTTACACAGTGTTAGAAACATCACATGCATGGCACCCAGTATGAATGACTGATGTCATTTATTTTCACCCACTCACGTCCATCAGCTTTTTGTGACAGTAGCATTGCTACTCCAGTTGTCTTTGTACAGATGCAGAACATGAACCAATAACAAGCAACTGGCCACAAAGCAGGCTTTTCTACTCTATGGATTGAATGTGGTATGGACTGCTCTCATATTCTCATATTGATTTTAGTAACCATCAGAACCAGCCAAATCTTAACCAGCCAAAATTAATAGTTCCATGATTGAATTAATAGAAATTGACTCTTGTGAGTGCAGCATAAGATACCTTGTTTTGTGCTTTCTGGTAGGACTTCACATTTCCAACTAATACTGTAAACACAATGACTGAAAGTAGTTTGTAACCAATCTTCAACCCCTGTTCAGGCAGGTGCAACAATCCCCTCTTTAAGTATCACCATTTACTATTCATTATTCTAACATAGCTTTCTGGGCTCTATTCTTCAAGGATTCTTTTTTCTTTTGCATTGTACAGATTCACATGAAAATGGAAGGGGAAGGGAAGCTGCTCATGTAGCCTCCTTGAGCATTCAGATAAAGTGGGATACAAATATTTTAAGAACAGGGGAGCAACAGTTATGGTGAAACTGATCATCTGTCTTAAGGAAAAGCAGACAACCGGATATCAAGTTCTTAGGGGGAAATGATGTTTGGCATGTAATAATGCGGCATTTTTGAATAATATTAGCTCATGCATTAATTTACTTTGTTATCAATACAGAAGGTGGTAGCCAACTTAATTATTGTGCATCTGGAACAACTTCCCTTCGCATCCCTGCATTGCCGCCACATTTGTTCTGGAGGATTGGGGGGAAACCCAGAACGGTTTTGGGGGAGCACACAGGAGAGGAAAAGTTTTCTTGTGCTCACAAGCATTGTTCTGTGCATGCAGTGGTTTAGTTTGCTTCTGCCCATACACACAAATAAACAAGGTTGAATGAATATATAGACATAAAAATGTAGACAAGTTCAAGTTGTTGATACAGCAATCCTATGCACACTTACTTGGAACCAAGGCCCATGGAATACAGTGGAGCCTGCAAGTTCACTCTGTACCTATTTTAATAAATAAAATGTACTGCATGGATTCTTAAATATTTGTTGCCGTAACTTTGGGTGGTGCTTAATTCTCCCCGGTCAGCCATGAAATTCACCAGATTACTTTGTGTCAGTCACTATTTCTCAGTGTAACTTTAGCTGCGTTATACCCCCACATGTCAGTTGACAAATTCGGTAAGAAATGAGCAGTTGCTGCCCAGAGCAGCCATGGGAGAACTAGAGAGGGGGAAAGAGTCATGCCCGCGTGACTGGCTGACACCACTGTTGGCCTTGGCCGGTAATCGGGGCCGCTGGGACATGCCTGCAACTTTTGGAATTCTGTGGGCCAATCAGGGCTCTTGCTCTGGCGGCAGACCTATCAGAGCCAGACTTCTGTTGGGTCCACATCCAGAGCATAAAGGCCACCCATTCTGCGAATAGGGAGCATGGTCAAAAATCAGACATCCGACCCACCCTGTATATGTTGGCTCTGCCCGGAGGTAAGTGGGCTATACATATGTATAGCCTTACTGTGTAATTAATTGGTCACCATATTCAGAGCCAGGGAGGAATTTGCCTGTAGACGAATTGGGCCTGTCTGGGGTTTTTGCCTTCCTCATAGGAACTGCCACAACTTTGGTGGAAAGGTGGCATTGGGTTGGATCCTTAGTCTAAGCAGGGTGTGTGTATGTCTCACCCCCCCGTCCAGGATCAAATGCAGGGTATGCTGGTAAAGGGGTCCAGGGTTTGGGTTCTGTCCTAAAGCCCAGATGGGGGCTAATAGGCCACAGAAGTGGCAACCGGGCAGGTTTATCCCATTGATTTGCATCATGGGGGGGGGTCCTTAACCCCAGGATTGACCCTGATGGAGTATCAGCCAGCAACCAGGTTGGCTGATTCAGGATATATACCCAATGTTTATGCCTACAGCCCACTTACATCTGTAATCAATAAAAAAGTTGTGGCCACTTCAGTCCCAAGATGGTGTTTTGTCTTTCTTTGCTGTTCCTGCTCCACCTACCCCCTCCTTGGTAGCCTCTGGCCTGCTGCATATGGGCAAAGAAAACATAAGAATATCAGATCAAAGACCTATATAGTTCAGCATTCTGCTGTCCTCAGCTTGCCAACCAGATGCTCCCTGGGAAGACTACAAGCAGGGCCCAAGGGCAATGGTTTTCTCTCAATATTGCCCTCTCACAGTGGGCATGTAGCACATGCTGTCTCTGGAATTGGAGATTCAATTTAGCTGTCATGACTAATAGCTAGTGATAGACCTAATCCTCATGAATTTGTTTAATTCTTCTTTAAAGCTGTCCATGGCAGTGACTCACTTCTTGAGGAGCGAATTCCATATGTTAATTATTTGAAATATGAAAAGTGCTCAGTTGTCTGTTCTGAATGTACTACTAACTTATATTCCTAGTTTTCATTTCTTCCAGAGTTGTTTCTTTTAACATGACTTGTATTGATAATGGAAGTACTAGATCGTATTTTGGGATGGCCATATCTCATAGACAATCTTCTTGGTGGCAGGTGGAAGCACCAATGTATAAGTAACAGAGTACCTTCTTGGTGACATTTTATCACACTGGGATTCCTTTCCTCATGATGGTCCACCAAAACATGAGTCTGAGCATTTTTAGGGCATATCTGGTGGCCACAGATTAAACAAGGATTGTTTTAGCAGTATTTAAAATATGATATAGTATGAAGAATGTTAACAAAGATTCATGAAATAGTAAGTTGGTGAGCCCTTGCGGTTTTTCTTAAGATTCTTTCACCTAATTGTATCCAATGGCTGGCGTTGGAACTTATGCACAAAATGTGCTCTGGGTCAGAACTGTTATTTCAGGGCAAAATGAATTTTCAAGGGTAAAACGAATCTCTCAGATACAACAGAGCCTTAAAATAACCCAATAAGAAAAGGGAATTACAAGCACTGATGCCAGACTATTTTCTACTTCATTTACATTCTAAAGAACAAATACTATCATGCTCAGGATCATGAGTCATCAGTGAAAACCACAGTGTTTTTAAATTTAATGAGGCAAGAGGATGATGTTTCATCAATATGGCATCAAGCTTTTTATAACTCTGGGGTGGTAAATTGCTTTGGATTTTTGTCTGTTTTCTGCCCTTCCTTCTGTCCTTCAACACTGGAGAAGATTCACTAGCAGTTTTCAGCAAAGAAGAAGGAAAAAGGCTTATGGTTTGATTAGTGCCATTTAGTACCATTTAACACAACCTGAGTCAATTCTAATCTCAGGATATTGCTTTTATGTCACACAGGAATCCCTAGATTTCTTAGCATTTTTCAAGTTTATGGGGTTTACAAATAAAAGTAAAATAAAGTAGCATTCCTTTGTTCGTCCTCTGCAGCAAGAACAACAGGGTGGTTCTGCAGCACCTGAAAGACAAAATAAACTAAGTGGCTAGTGGCCGATCACAAAGCCATCTAAGGCTGCCATTCGAACCATGTCTATTCAGAAGCAAGTCCCACTGAATTCAGAGGGCCTTACTCCCAAGTAAACAGAATTAGGTTTGTAGCCTTTCTCATTAAGCTGATTTCACTATTCAGTATAAACTTGTAATTCTATATAGCTTCCCTTACTCAGACATCAGGGAGGGCAAGTTTAACACCTATCTGATATTTTGCTCTTCGTGTGCTGGATAGTTGGAATTACTTCTGCCACTTAACCACATACGAGTCCTTTTTAAAACTGCAGCATTAGCCTTTCCTTAAGCATTTGGTTGGCCATTTAAGAACAGGGGCCCGGCCTGATCCAGTAGGGCTCTTCTTATGTTCTTATGAAAAGAACAATAATCAGCAATGCATTCAACTGGTTTTTAAAATTCATTGTAAGAAGAGGATTAAGGCTGCAGTCCTAACCTCACTTACCTGAATTCAAGATTGGTCTGACGTAGTCGAAATAAATAAAAAAAATTAAAAATTGTCCAGTAGCACCTTAGATACCAACTAAGTTTGTTCTGGGTATAAGCTTTTGTGTGCATGCTGGGTATAAGGTTTCGTGTGGTATCTGAAGAAGTGTGCATGCACACAAAAGCTTATACCCAGAATAAACTTAGTTGATCTCTAAGGTGCTACTGGACAATTTTTTAATTTACCTGAATTCAGTGGGATTTGCTTCTAGTTAGGACTGCAGCCCTCATGCAAATATAGTCTAGCTCAGAGGTGCCAGCTTATGCCAAAGATGGAGGAACCTTGATGTTACACGTGTGTGATGTCACGCGTGTGTGGAACGCACACATGCAATGTCACGTACGTGACGTCATGTGGTTGGGAGGAGGAGAGCATGGAGCTGGGCACAGCCTGGCCTCAACGGCTGACAGCTCCTCTCTCAAGCTTGGCCTCTGTGATGAATGATTCACTTTGAAAAGTGTAGTCAAAATGGGAAGGTTTAGAAACTCACGCAAGACCAATTTCCATAAAAACATACAAGAAACTTTATTAGAACAAAACTCTGTAAAAAGGAAAAGCTTCAAATGATTACACAGATTAAGACTGCTCAGATGCTTAAAAAATAACAAAACTATCTTATCCTAGCTAGCTAACTGATACACTTACGCAAAATACCGAACAGGCACTGACCGTCCATGCTGAGAGCTCCTTATGCTCGCCCCAACCCAAGTTTTAAGGGAACTCTATGGACGTTCACCCCTTTTGCCCAACAATATTGGCACCTGCTCCCATTACATGTCTTTGATTACCGTTCGACACTGTCCTTGAGGCCTTAATGAGAGGCTCAGTATTCCAGGAATTCTAACAAAGTCCCACACAACCTGCAAGCTAATCTTAAAGGGACTATATCACCACAGCCTCCTCTGCTCCCTCAACATTGGCCCCTGGAGCCAGTGCCCCTGATCTAGCTAATAAAAGACAACAAACAACACTTCAGAAAAAAGGAAAAGCCACAAGGCACCTACTGGATTTGTATCTATTTACATATTGCAATATAGGATGCGGGTGGCACTGTGGGTTAAACCACAGAGCCTAGGATTTGCCAATCAGAAGGTTGGAGGTTCGAATCCCTGCGACAGGGTGAGCTCCCGTTTCTCGGTCCCAGCTCCTGCCCACCTAGCAGTTCGAAAGCACGTCAAAGTGCAAGTAGATAAATAGGTACTGCTCCGGCAGGAAGGTAAACGGCGTTTCCGTGCGCTGCTCTGGTTCGCCAGAAGCGGCTTAGTCCTGCTGGCCACATGACCCGGAAGCTGTACACCGGCTCCCTCGGCCAATAAAGCGAGATGAGCGCCGCAACCCCAGAGTTGGCCACGACTCGACCTAATGGTCAGGGGTCCCTTTACCTTTACCTTTTACATATTGTAATGTATGCACTTTCACTTAAGCAGCTGGCATGTGGCCCATTTAAGAGGAACAGCTATGACCCAGGAGGCCAGTTCCTGGAGAGCTGACTCAGAGGTGTGGCCTCGCTGAAGGAATTAGTTACTACTCTGTGCAAATTTGATTTACCATTAACTGAGATTGTAGAGAGTTCATATACAATGTGTGCATGTTAAAAAAAAGAAAAACTTTTGTTGCAGAGAAATCATGGATAGTGAGAATTTATGCCAAGATGGGGGCTGACCATCAAGGTCCCTCCTGCTCTCTCTTCTTACGATTCTTATCTTTAAGGCAGATTTGGACCAGAGAGCCCTTTAAATAGAGGACTGTCCTCTGACAACACTTTAAATAGAGGACTGCTATCTCTAACAGGGATGCGGGTGGTGCTGTGGGTTAAACCACAGAGCCTAGGACTTGCCGATCAGAAGGTCGGCGGTTCAAATCCCCACGACGGGGTGAGCTCCCGTTGCTCGGTCCCTGCTCCTGCCAACCTAGCAGTTCGATAGCACGTCAAAGTGCAAGTAGATAAATAGGTACTGCTCCGGCAGGAAGGTAAACGGCATTTCCATGCGCTGCTCTGGTTTGCCAGAAGCGGCTTAGTCCTGCTGGCCACATGACCCGGAAGCCGTACGCCAGCTCCCTCGGCCAATAAAGCAAGATGAGCGCCGCAACCCCAGAGTCAGCCACAACTGGACCTAATGGTCAAGGGTCCCTTTACCTTTACCGTTTTATCTCTAACACAGGGGTCAGCAAACTTTTTCAGCAGGGGGCTGGTCAACTGTCCCTCAGATCTTGTGGGGGGCCAGACTATATTTTGAAAAAAAAATAATGAACGAATTCCTGTGTCCCACAAATTACCCAGAGATGCATTTCAAATAAAAGCACACATTCTACTCATGTAAAAACACCAGGCAGGCCCCACAAATAACCCAGAGATGCATTTTAAATAAAAGGACACATTCTACTCATGTAAAAACACACTGATACCCGGACCGTCCGCGGGCCGGATTTAGAAGGTGATTGGGCGGGATCTGGCCCCCGGGCCTTAGTTTGCCTACCCATGCTCTAACATAAGACACAGAGCTGTTCTGAGCTCTGGAAGATGAGGGCATGTTGATCTTCTCACAAAATCGTGACATGTGAAATTGACAGTTCAGAAGTGAATACACACACACACACACACACAGTCTTGCAGGCTAAATCCACCTCAACATTCAAAGGCTAGATTTATAACATAGAAAGGGTTTGGTAAAACCCTCTAGTTTCATACTCCAGGACACATTTCTCTAACTGACATGAGGCAGCCATAAATATTCAGACACAAAGGTAGGCAGCTTTCCCTTTTCATGCTCATGTCAGCTGAACTGCAGGTATAAAAACAAGGCTGTTTTGCAAGAATCCCAGGTAACAAAGGTTGAAGGGCTTAAATTTGGTACAAAGAATTAATTTAATAGAAACCTGTACAATGCAAAGTTGTATTTCAGGGCCTGTAGTGTTTCATTAGAAATAAATATGCAGATACCCTCTGTACCTTCTCTGGAATGGTAGCTATATTTGTTTATTTTGCTGCAGCAGACACATAATGGTTTAGCAGCACCTTGAAGACTCTCTCATTTTGTTATGGTATAAGCTTTTTTTTGTAGACTCAAAAGAATGCATTTGTGGCACAAGACCCTTTGTCAATTTCATCTGTATCACCTGTAGCACATGCATTCTGGAAGGTTCCAATGACACTGAGGGATACAGGTCAAAGGGAACTGGATGGGATAGAAAAACTGAAGACTATAGCCCAGGTGGCACAACTTGGCAACTAATTATATGTGAGGAACAAATGAGGTAAAATAATAATAGATCAAGCCATGGCTGTGTGGTTGATTTAACCAGGTGAATGGTGAACTTTATTGGATGTATGGAGAGTGAACAAGGAGAAGAAGTCTTGGTAGAAAAGATGAACAGTTTGGTCTTGGACATATTGAGATGTCCATGAAACACTCAAGTGACTATTTCAGGCAGACTGGAAGGGGAAATGCTCCAAGTACAGCTGGGACTCACCAGCATACATACAGGGGTGTTGAAAGCTGTTCTAATTTCATGAAACCCAAGGAGAGAGGGGGAGAAGCACACAGCCCATAATACCAAGTGATCCCAACAGAGACAAGAGAGCTTTCCCCCAATAGAAAAGTTGAATAAACAGTCAGACAGGTAGGAGGAAAAGGAGTTAAGAATGAAGTCTTGAAAAATTAAGGCACAGAGGCAAGCAGGAGAGTTTGGTCAACTGAGTCTGGGTAACTGGGCAATTGCCTGCTTTGCATGGGGTCATTCTCCCCCTGAAGGAGCATATTTGTAGTCTGGACATGCTCCCAGGTCTGTCACTGGAGGCCCAGGAGACCTCAGTGTCTAGGGGTGCCTTTTACCTGCTTTGGTTGGCAAGACAGCTATGGGCATTTCTGAACTGCGGTAGCCTAACAATTGTCATCCATGTACTGGCAACCTCCAGACTGGATTACTGCAATGTTCTGTATGTGGGGCTGTCTTTGAGCTGATCTGGAAGCTGCAAAAATGCTGCAGCTTGATTGCTCACTGCTCACTTAGGCCACTGCTGATGGAACTGCACTGGCTGCCAATTAGCGGCTGGGTTCTGTTCAAGGTGCTGGTACTGGAGTATAAAACCCAATCAGCTTGGTACCAGGATGCATAAAATATAGTCTAGCCCTATGCATACCCAGCTGATCACTGCGTTCTGCAGGAAAGGGCATCTTGCAGATACAGTGGTACCTCAGGTTACAGACGCTTCAGGTTACAGACTCCACTAACCCAGAAATATTACCTCGGGTTAAGAACTTTGCTTCAGGATGAGAACAGAAGTCGTGCGGCGGTGGTGCAGCAGCAGCAGCGGGAGGCCCCATTAGCTAAAGTGGTGCTTCAGGTTAAGAACAGTTTCAGGTTAAGAATGGACCTCCAGAACAAATTAAGTTCTTAACCCGAGGTACCACTGTACTATCATAAAAGGTCTGTTTCACATAATGTCCGGATCAGGCCTCCCTCCAATTGCACATCAGACTGGTGCCTCTTCTATTGCCTTTCAGCACCTGCTAAAAATGTTAGATGTTGTTGTTGTTGTTGTTGTTGTTGTTGCATTTATATACCACCCTATAACCGGAGGTCTCAGGGCGGTTCACAGAAAAGATCAACATAAAAACCACAATATATATAATCAAAATAAAAACAACAACCAAGCCTTCTAAAGTCTTTATCCCAACTGGTATCTGTCCTGGATCTGTGTTGATTTTAAGTATGTGTTGTTTAAATGAATTTTACATGTATAATTGGTTTTTTTAATTGGTTCTGTATGCAGTTGTTTTGATATATGGAACTGTTTCATAGGTGGCTTCTTGTACTACCAGTCATAAGGAGAAGCTGTTTGTTTCTTAGGCATTTGTGCTTACATTGAATACTTAGTGCAGTCAGATGCCACACCTTCCGAAATTAAAAATAAAACCCTATGTTGCCTCATGTGATTCCAAAATGACAGTTTTTCATATTTGTTGTTGTTATTTGTTTCTGATTGTTTTTACTGTGTGATTTGATAGGTGGCATGTATATAGGGTTGCATCCTATGAACTCATAATCAGACTGGTGTAAGTTCACTGATTTTGCTAGATCTACTCTGTGTATGACATGGTAGGATTACAACCCTTAGTGTGTAGGATTCTACCATTCTTTTCAAAGGACAGAATCTATCTGTCCCTAATCGGAGTCAAGCATACATTCTACTTTGTCAGTTTGCTCTGAAGGTATCTGATGCTTCTAATGGAGCTTCCATCATTTAATTTTCATCTGATTATTTTCATCTAAGAGTTTACATGGATTAAGGACATTCTTCTATAGTTAGATAACAAATCTTGTAGCTATACATACAGAATAAATGCTGTTATACTTTTGCTATAGTATACTTTTGCTTCAGAAACAAAGTAATGTCATGATTGCAGGAAGTCACAATTACGCATATGCTACTATTGCTTGTGCTGTTTTCAGCTGCGATTCAGAAGTCAAATGATTCTTGCATTAGTCTTCAGTTTCATCCCCTCAATAGTGCTTCATCATCACAAGCATTAGAACTGGCTTATCCCAATTTTGCTAGAGAGCTTAAGATGTTTGGCCTATTTATCTCTGAAGTACTATTCCTTCCACTTCAATGTTTTCTAATGATGTCGGAGAGTCAAATAGGAGTACAATATTCCGCTGGGTGGGACATAATTAGCTGAGAAGCTGTGTCTTGCCAAATGCAAGGTGGTTCTTTGGTTTGGAATTCAGAAGTAATATAAAACACAAGTGAGTGAGAAGAAGATTTTATTCCTAAACAGCAAGGAATATATACATACGGGACATGCGCTTCTATCTGCCACTTGGAAGCCCTCAAAGAAGTGAAGAAGTGACTCCCCCAGGTAGCTTTAGATTGCACGGCCCTGGTATGTATATGTTGTTTGCTGTTTAGGAATAAAATCTTCTCACTCACTTGTGTTTTACAATGGTAGTTCGAGTTACCAACGCCTCAGGTTACAAACGCTTCAGGTTACAAACTCCGCTAACCTGGAAGAGTTACCTCGAGTTGAGAACTTTGCCCCAGGATGAGAATGGAAATCGTGTGCCGGTGGCGCAGAGGCAGCAAGAGGCCCCATTAGTGAAAGCACGCCTCTAGTTAAGAACAGTTCCAGGTTAAAAACGTATCTCCAGAACGAATTAAGTTCCTAACTAGAGATACCACTGTATATTGCTTCTGAATTCCAAACAAAAGAACCACCTTGCATTTGGCAAGACAAGCTGCTCGCATCTTTTGTGGTGGGATGTGGGAAGGACAGGATATAATAAACAGGATTTACCATCAAACACATTTTGATGTTTGTCCAATGCTACGAATAAGTTAAGGTCACAGCCCATGTAAGTGGTAAAATCTTGAGCTTCTAAATTGTAATCTGCAAAGTCTGCAAGACATCCTGCTAAAATGAAATATGCTGGTACAAATTCATACATTCGGAGCTGTTTAAATTATAAATTATTCTCATGACAAAGGAGCCCCTTGGAAAGTTTACTGTTACTAAAGTACTGTAGAACTCTTATGTTTACATGCAGTTATATAAATGATAAAAAAACTATAACTAAACATTAAAAAAGGATAGTATACAATTCTATTAATACGTATCCTGCAGCTAAGTGGCCATGATGGTACCTATTAACTGAATTTGTTGATGTCATCCTTGAATCCATTATGCTGCTAGCTATTTGTGGCTTATGATAAGGAAGTAGATGTTTTCAGTAGAAGAACCGCTAAGAGACAAGCATTAATATATAGATCACTTGTGGTGAGTGATTCCGCTGAGAATAAAGTGCCTGAGTCTTTCTTTTTGGTTTGGTGCTTCTTTTAAACAGAAACATCAGAAAAATGCTTGTTCTACAAATCACAATGTACAAGTACCTGAGATCTGGGATTGTATCTTGAAGTAGCTATGAAGATTTACTTATCTAAGGTCAGAGTTTGAAAAGAATTTCAAGTACCAACCATAGCACATTTGCGCCAAAACATTTTAGGTCCTTAAAGTTTGCAATAACTTAGAATGGGGAAGATAGCTTGCTCAGCCATAAAGGCCATGCATCAGAAATGGCAAGAGACCTGGACTTAGGGCTGCCATACGCCTGGATTTTCCTGGACATTACTGGGAATTCAAAGGTGGATTTGATGCCTGGGGGGAATTTTTGAAATGTGGCGCTTTGTCCTGGATCTTAGGCAAGTCAATCGAAAATTCGTGGGGGGTTTTTTTGGCATTTTGGGGGGTTTCCTAAAAAAAAAAAGACTCAACAATTTTGGGGCCTTCCTATAAAAAGCTCAACAACTTCTGGGGTGTCCTGGTTTTAACTTTTTGAAATATGGCAACCCTGGCTGGACTAAACTGTGTATCTTGGCTGCATGTAAATATCCAATGTTAGTCATATTCAGAGGAGAGCCACTGAAATCAAATGACTTAACTATTGCTTTCACTGGAGCTACTCTGAGAATGTCTTAGTTGGATATCAATCCACAATTTGAATCCATTTTGTGTATTAGACAGGTTTCATATTAATACTGATAAACATCTCACCATAATATTCTTATTCAGAAGTTACTGTCTTAGAAGTTGAAAAAAAAGTTATTTATCTAGTGACATCAAATCTGCATCACCTTACAGCATGCATCACCCTGACATGAGAGGCTTCAAAGCCAGCACAGAACACCCTGGAGCTGATGGGAGCTGTGGTCTAAAACAGCTGGAAGGCACTATTATGGTGGAGGCCAGACATAGTTCTAAATGGAAATTGAGAGCACTATATTTTAGAAGCACCCTCTTCCATTTAAAACATCAAAGTGCCCCATAATCTTGGCAAGGTCCTTGAGGGAGATGAGTTGGAAGACATGATCCAAACTGTGAAACGTTTGTCAGTATCTTATAGTACCTGAAGCAGGAATTCAGAGACATTTGATTTACAGTACTCCAGTGCATGTTTATGTATCACACAATTTGGTGGAATCCCTGCATTTGACTAACAAGGGCTATTTATGATGATGTCTTATCAGATTTTGTCCGAATATAGAACTCATACTTTCACTAAATTCACAATACATACTTTCACTAAAATTCACAATTGTTTTGACTGTGTGCTCATGCTTGAACTGGGTAACTCACACACATGGGCTGTGGGTGCCAGCCTAGCCAGTGCTCCATTTCATATGCTGCTGTAAGATCAACTGGTGTTCTTCCTCCACAGCTTCTCTGTAAGGTGGGATGGGTGATGGGAGAGCAATATGGCAACTGGGCTATGGCAGCTGTGGTATTACACACCCAGATCCCTGGGCAGCTCCTTCACACTCAGGGCTGTGTTACCCATAGGCGCTAGGGGTGCATCAGGGGTGCCAGGCCAAGAGACTGGGGCCGACATTTGGAGTCCAGGGATTGGGAAGAGCCGAAAACTGCTGCCAAGCGGAGCAGAGTGCGTCAGAATATAATAATAATAATAATAATAATAATAATAATAATAATAATAATTTATTATTTATACCCTGCCCATCTGGCTGAGCCTCCCCAGCCACTCTGGGTGGCCCCCAATCAAGTATTAAAAACAGAACAGCATTAAATATTAAAAATTTCCCTGAACAGGGCTGCCTTCAGATGTCTTTTAAAGATAGGATAGCTGCTTATTTCCTTCACATCTGAAGGGAGGGTGTTCCACAGGATGGGTGCCGCTACTGAAAAGGCCCTCTGCCTGGTTCCCTGTAACCTCACTTCTCGCAATGAGGGAACCGCCAGAAGGCCCTCGGAGCTGGACCTCAGCGTCCGGGCAGAACGATGGGGGTGGAGACGCTCCTTCAGGTATACTGGGCTGAGGCCATTTAGGGCTTTAAAGGTCAGCACCAACACTTTGAATTGTGCTTGGAAATGTACTGAGAGCCAATGCAGATCTCTCAGGACCGGTGTTATGTGGTCCCGGCGGCTGCAGCTCTTCTGTGGGCGAGTGAGGCATTGAGGCAGCCAGCCGGCTCCACCCTCCTGCGTGCCTGGGATTGGCGGGCCTTCGAGAGGCCCGCCCAGTGCACGCTGCTTACACAAGGCACCCGGCTGCGATCAGTCGCTGCTGCCTTGGGCTCAACTGCTGTTGCACTGGGCTCTGCTTGCCGCCCCCCCAGGCGCCCGGCCCCGGCCTTGCTCTGCTGCTGCCGCCACCTCGGCCTCCTCTGTTGTTGTTGAGGCGGCCAGCCAGGCCAGCTCTGCTGTGCTCGCCTCGCCAGCCTGCCCTAAAAAAAGCTCTGGGCAACCTGGGGGGAGGGGCGCGCCAGGTGGATCTTTGCACCCCGGCACCACATATGCTTAAGACAGCCCTGTTCACACTAACTGAAATGCAGGCTCAGGCCATTATACTTGCATAGCGAGGAGCAAAAAGAAAGCTTATGCTGTTGGTCCTGCTCCAGCCGCAGTTTACCAAGTTATAGCCCCATACCTATCCTGGATACTGCCCAGATACTAGCATTTTTGAAACCAAAAGTTGGCTGTCCTTAACTTTTCACCCAAAATAACTTCAGGGACGCTTGGCTGAGGAATATACTCTCCTAGTCTATATTTTGGTATAGCAGCCCATGCTCCAATCTGGTTCTGAAGGGTTAAAACAAAGAAAATAATAACACCCACAACCCCAAATATAGTGTACACCAAACTTTACTGTTGTGAACTCACTCAAGAAATCCTTGGGACCTGTAGTTTTGTGAGATCCTCAAGTTCAAACAAATACAATTCCCAGACTAGTTTGGCTGTGAAAACCAGACTTTCGTTTTTGTGTGCAGACACACATTTTTAACTTAACACACTTCTATGATGTTAGTGATCGCTGCCAAAGCTTTCATAATCACTATGACAGGATGAAGCACAGAACAGAGGCCATTTAATAACTCCGCTTCATTATTTAAAATTCAGCTTGGATTATTTTCACGGAAAGTTTGTCCTAGACCTGCCTAGTGCACACCTGTGTGGTGGAGAAGTCTGCGCCCTTCACTACCAGCACTTGGCATATAGCATGCAAGTGGTGATCCACACTCTGGATTTCTGTGGGATGAACTTCATCACCATGACCAATGTTAAGTCAACACCATCAAGGTTTCCTGAATACACATAGCACAGCACTTGCATTGGCCATGTGTTGGCCTGATCCGAAGCTGTGTGCTTGGGTTTTTGAAAGCCATGGTGAACTCAAGGTTGCACTCTGATACAGCAGTCTTACCTGCATCATTAAGCACTGATTGATTCGCTTTGGGTTTGGTAACTTTACCTTTATGGACATGGCAAAATGCACTGCCTTCACTACAGCATGTGTATTGATTCTGTTGGGAGTGCCTGAACATCAACAAAAGACCAGGACTTTGAAATGTCAAGAAATACTTATGCCTTGCATATTTATAGCATGTCTAATAATAACCTTGAAGCATTTCCACTGCATGGACTTGCACAGTTTCTTCCACCCTCTTCCACCCCCACCCCACCCCCTACCCTGTTCTTCCAAATGTTCTATCCTTTACTGAGAAATGTATCCTAATTTCAGGTAGTAGAGAAGCAGCCTTCACCTACGCCATCATTGCTGCTGGAGTAGCGCATGCAATCACTGCTGCCTGCACCCAGGGGAACCTGAGCGACTGCGGCTGCGACAAGGAAAAACAGGGACAATACCACAAAGACGAAGGATGGAAATGGGGAGGCTGCTCTGCAGACATCCGATACGGAATAGGATTCGCCAAAGTGTTTGTGGACGCAAGGGAGATTAAGCAGAATGCAAGGACGCTCATGAATTTGCACAACAACGAGGCGGGGCGAAAGGTAGGCACCTTTGCTCACCTCTGAATAGGGCCACCTCAGGTCTACAACAACATTTACCATATGTGCATATGCTTTGAAGCCAATGTCACTTGCTGATCCACAAGGTATGCAAACTTGCACTTCACAAGACCAGCAGCCAGTCAAAGGTTTACCGCATCTCGATGCTTTACAGTCAAAAAAGTAGGAAGAAAGAACAAAATGGAGCAAACTGTGTTTTAGCATTTAAAAGTTTCTAGATTGCATATGGCCACCTCATTATTTATTTGGGGGATTTGGGGTATACAAAGGTCCACCCTTGCTTTTTATAGAAAGCAAGTAGATATACAAATAAACAGAGGGAAATGATGAATGCTGTAATCTAGATTGCCTGGCAACCCCCACCACGTGGCCGCTTCTTTGGCTAGCCTTTACAATACAGGTGTGGTAAGAACTCAATTCTTACTCTGCTTTGGTAACATTTGAATCTAGCAGATCACATAGAACCAATTAATTGCATGCTTACTTCCTGTCCTAATACTGCTTTCTTTCCTGGGGGTGAGTGAGAGGCAAATCTGTTGCAGGAAACTTTGGTTTACCTTTTCTAGAAGGAGTGAGTCCCATATTTTTGCAATAATAACATTTTTTTATTATTATTTATACCCCACCCATCTGATGGGGTTGCCCCAGCCACTCTGGGTGGCTTCCCACATATATATACACATTATAAAACATTAAACATTAAAAAACTTCTGTATAAAAGACTACATTCAGATGTCTTCTAAAGGTTGTACTGTATAATTATTTATCTCCTTGGTTTGGGGGTTGCATAACTCCATACTTCCGACATTTCTCTGATGAAATTAGGGATGTCCTAAGGAAAACTGGGACACTCCAGGATCAAATCAGAAACCAGGATGGCTTCTGTAAATTCAGGACTGTCCCTGGAATATATGGACACTTGGAGGATCTGACATGGTGCCATTCATATGCTGTTGGACTATGTCTATCATCTTCCATGCTGGCTGGGACTGATGGGAATTGGAGTCCAACAACACCGGAGGACACCTAATTAGTTATCCCTTAAAAAAAACACACCACAGCCAGCATATGTTGCCTGAGCTATATTACAGCTGACAAGGAGTTGGATTTGCTGTTTACAAAATGTTTGATTTCAGAAAACAATTTTACTAATGATGGATATTGCTGCTTAACCAATTCTGTACATAATAGCTCTGATAAATTTCAGAGAGCTAAAATACTATTCAGGAAAGCCTTACCCTCATTTGACTCTTTTGTCACTGACAGTATTTACTTTGTGCTTTTTTTCTGGCCTCATCTGGAAGGGATTCAAAACTGAATGGATGAGGCTGCAGTGCAAATAGCTTTCAATCACTAATGCTGCTAAGGTGTTAAAATAAAGGGTTGGGACCCTCAGTTTGCAATTCTGCAGCTGCGTAGTTCAGCTACTCCTGAGTAGGCATGTATAGGATTCAACTCCCAACAGCAAAATGTGGAACGGAAGCACATGGGAAATCTCATGAATCAAGCAGTGCTAAGATGTTTGTTTTATCAATTGCTGCTGTTGTAAATGGTCACTGTGTTTATTTTGCACACATTTCAGTTTTAATGTATTTGCTACAGGACTCCCCCCCCCCCATTTCAATTCCATCTGACCTCACATTTCTGTCTCTCTACACCCATGTGTATGTTAGAGATGCTGTGAGTAGAGTGGTTAATGTGCATAACAACTGGTCATTGTGCACATACACCACATCTCATGGATCACGTACACGTAACACACACATTTCCTGTTCAATATAACTGCTTAGTCTACAATAGGCCTTGAGTAATGTGCATATGTCAACAGGTTTTTGTACATTCTCCAGGCAAGATCCATCATCAGCAACAGGCCTTAGGGAATGTGCATCTGTTGACTGCATTTTACAGATTCACTGGGAAACATGCACATTCTCAGGTTAGTATCTGTACTTGCCCAGAAACCTCTTGTTTGTTTCTGTCTCTAGTTCAGAAGTGGGCAACCCATTGCTCCCAGGGCAAAGTCCAATCTTATGTAAATTGTGATGTCCCTCTGGCAGGTCAGTTGAGTGGCAGGAAAAAGAGGATGTGGCTGCAGCTTCCATTCTTCCAGTCCCATCTCACTCTTGCAGCACCCTGTGTTGGGTTTTTCTGCAGACTATCACAGGGATCCCACCAGTGGTACTTCCACCCAGCTGCATGTTCAGCGGGTGGAACAGGGTCTGTGCTGGCAGAGCAACACTAGTGTCCCTTTGCCCACCTCCATCCAATCCACACACAGAGATACACCCAGCACAAAGGGGGCTTGAATTATAGACTTATTTTTGTGGCCCAAACACCTTGGTCTGACCTTTGTATTCAGAGCTGATATCTCTGAAAGCTGGCTCCAAAGGCAAAATATGAATGCATTTTAAGCGTTTTCATTTACCGTATTTGTGGTTCTCCTGGCTTAAAGTAGTTTTAATAACTGCTCCTGAACATTGGATCAGGAACCTGGCTTTGAACTCTTTGAAGTGTGAAGATTCATCATAGTCTGCCTGTGTTGCTCGTTAATCTGAAGGTTTGTTGCACCAATTAAACTTAATTAAATCTAGCAATTAAACCATACTACTATATGGCACCTGGGTAATTCCCCCTGCCACCCCAATTGGCAAGAAAACAATGCCTTAAAAATAGCGTGCAGGTTTTCTTGTGTGGTTGGCACAAATTACTTAATAAAGTAAACACTGGGGATGAAGGAGATGTGCATGGTATTTCAAGCTTTGTACATTAATGATTGTGTTCCACCTGGTTTCTGAAATATGGAAGCAAAAAGATCACGGTACTCAGAATGACTTTGAATGTGATGCTGCTGGCAGTGACAGAAAGTGTTTCCCCAAATCTGTTTCATCTGAACTATCTTCTTCTTCTTTGGCGATCACTCGTGGACAAGTAAGATTGTCTTCCATGAACACAGTTTTAACAGTGAGTCAGTAAGTGACTGTGGAGGCCAATTCTAGATCCATACATCCTTCTGAACTATAGCTTTAGCATCTTCCACACACTCTCACCCAATGGCTGTCCCTGCATGTATGTCTCAGGGTAGGATCATGCAACAATTATATTTTGGGTGACAGGACAATGCATTTCAAGGCACTTGAGTTCTTCAGTATCCTACCTCCACAAATGATGTCATATTCAAATCTGCAAATGCAGCTAAAATATAGTTGCAAATTGAATTTAAAAGGCCTTATATATGGCACATACTTCAGTTTCTCTGTGAGAATGTTGATGTGCCTCCTTTGTGCTCTAGGTTTTATTCTGCGATTCATGGAGTTTAACATATATTTGCTGAAGAATATTTATGTCGACAAGTAGAATTTCATTTCCCAGAAATGAATGACAAGGCTCCACATGCACTCGACCTTGGTGCTACCCAGGGCGTTCAGAGTCAGAGATAAATGGAACAAGTGATTCTTTATAAACATGTGTGTGCAAAGTATCATGGTGTGCTCTTCCCCTAATCTTGCACACCAGAGTTGATCATAAAGACTGTACACATCATCCTCACTCACAGATTCAGTGAACATGTGACGAGGGAGCAGTTACTGTATCAGCTGGCTGTGCTCCATATGCTTTTGTACCAGCTGATCACATGTCCCAGTGCACACATTTGCTAATAGGGTAAAAAAAAGTCACATACACACAGCACATATAAGGGAACTTTTCTTTCTATTGATAAATGTGCAGTCACTAGTGGACATAGTTAACAAGTGCATTGGCAATGCACCAGTGAAGACAATTTCACTTCCTGTCATGCATTTGCTAATCTATTGTGGTGGTGGCAATGGAGTTGTGTAAACAGACCTATTGTTGTTTCTGTTAGCTAGTGCAAGTTTTAGTGTAGCATTGTGAATCTACAGATTAGCTGATGGGACTATTCATATAGATTCCAATTCCATTTTGGAAATGGGTCATTTCAGAGATCCTTCAATGAACTAGCTCTTCAAACAAGAAATGGGGGTGGGGGGAGCTTCAGCTCAGGGTGTCACATTTGAATATGATGTATGGCCAACCCATTCTCATGGAAAAGTGTTCAAATCACAGAATCCATTCCAAAGGCATCCTGGAGATGTAAAACATCATGGCAGAACTGGCTCTTAGGCACTCCATATGCACCCAACAATCTGATCATGAAAGCTTTCATTTTATTGAGGGTATTATCTGAAGGGATAGGGTGTGTGGTGACTTTGGCCACCTGCCATTTCCCCAGAAGGCAAAGAATCTGTTTTGATGTGGAGATATTTTCCTGCATGCCTTGGGTAGAACTGCTGAACTGTTTGGAGTTGTTGGCAATCTATTGGTGTTGTAGTCCAACACTGGACCGGATGGTATTACTGAAGGTCTACAGAGAAGTGGAGAAATTGACAGAAGTGTTGAATGATGCTATTTCATGTGGTATAAATATATCCTCACCTAATTTGAGCGTTTGCTGGGGGACACCTAATACATGGAGTTGACCTCATACTTGCAAATATAATAAAAGTACTCAGTATAACCTTTATTATAACCCACCAAAAGACCAATATCCTAGAACATCTACCAAATTCTTGATTATTAGACAAAACAACCTTATGTGGGCTGACAGGATAAAGTCCACAGCAGAGGACTGGACTTGCACAGACTACAGCAGATGGTGAGGTGGATGCTTTTGTTTTTATTATTATTTCCCCCTTTTCCTTTGCTGGTTCTGGAAATGTAAGGAGCTTTGGAGTCAGTGGAACTCCAAGGCTGGATCAGTAAATGTGGGACTTTCTGGCTCCACACTGGGCAGACCTTCATCCTTGGACCTTTCCATCCAACTGTGGGCCTCCATTTCTGGCCATGGAAATGGAGATCTGCAGTATCCAACATTGTCCTAGCTGCCTTTCCCAAAAGCTTAGGATTGCTCCCTTACAACATATTTGACTTAGGACACATATGGAATTGTGTTCTACATCAACACTGATATTTGGGAGTACTTCATCAGAGTGACTCTAATATCATAAGATGCCTTTAATGCACTTTTAATATAATTTCATAGATGCTGAGGAATGATTAGCACACTTTAGCACAAAGCCTCCTTGGAATGTAATGGGAAGCTAGGATTTACATTAAAGAGAAAGTAGCTAGTTAATTGAGTGAGGGCAGGTAGAGCATGTGAACACAAAGCTCATCATTACCATAACACCAAAACGTTATTATAAGCAAACTCCAAGATAGCAGAATGAGCGTGGACTATATCCAGCAGCCATACTTGGAGCAGACAAACTGAAATCAATAGACTTAAGTCATGTATGTCTGTTGATTTTGGTGGATCTTCTCTGAGAAAATTGGATATCACCTCATGATTCTCTGCTGCTCTTTCCTACGCGTTGTATTTTAAAAAATGCAATCATGTTTTTAATTAGTTGCCATTTTTCTGATTTTTAAAAAATCTCTTTTATAATTTTATATAGTTTTATTATTTATTTTTTTTTGCTGATGTTGTAACATGAATTCATTATTTTCTGTATTTTTTTTAAAAAATTGTCAGCCTCCTTGGGTTGGGGCTTTTTGTGGGAACATTTAAATGGCAGTGGAGTAGAATGATGGGTGATGAAGAGGTTCTCTGCCACAAGGTGCTTGTTTGAAAGTCATGCTGTGGTTGAGAAATGTTCATGCATTAGCTTTAACAAATTCAACTTCCTTTTTACCGAGGCCATGTGAGTGTAGCGGGGAAAGCCTGTCATTTATTAGAGAAAAACAGAAATGCATTTTCAGACAGTGTTACTGTAGAATAAGATAGGGCGTAAGAAAGAGCCAATACCTTTCAAGGAACAACATTTTGGTTCTGAGCGGAAAGCAAATTATTGAATTGTGCTCCCGCTCTCTCTTTCGTGACATTGAAATTCACTGAATGGCATTTTGCATCAGCATTACATCATATTAAATATAACACCGTGTTATGAGTCATTGTTATAAATCATGACACAGGCTGCATTAGAAGGCTCCTGCAACCAAGGGCATATCAAGGTGGCTTTTTATTTGATGTGTCTCTTCAGCAGAGGGACATAGGTGTGCTGACTTAGTAATCCTATCATGTCCTGCACAGGGAGCACTTTGCTTTTTCTTCAGCACTCGAGTAGAAATCTGTGGTATAAGAGAGTTCGGAGCAAATACAACAAAGAATGAAGTCTTACATAGCTGATCAAGATGAGATCATAAGTTACAAAATGAGCACGCCGAAATAGGAACTGATTTGAAAGGAGATGAAAAAGGCAAGGTCAATGGAAGAATCTTGATTTCTAAACAGTTGTGTGAGAGTGGCTGAACATGGAAGCAGCCTCATACTGTATTAGACCATTGATCCACAAAGCTCCTTGTTACCTGCTCAACTGACAGAGATGCTCACCAGGGTTTCAAATAGAGGTCTTTTCCAGCCTAGAGATGCCATAAATTGAACCTAGGACCTTTTGCATGCAAGGCATGAACCCTGCCACTGGGCTACAGGCCTTCCTCTATTCTCTTTGGATATTTTTGCTCGTGAAAATTTGAATTTTGGTATATCACTCCCAGACTCCTCCTCCTCCTCCTCTCCCATTTCTTTTTCCAATTTATATTCCATCCTTCTTTTCACTAGGTCCATGCTAAATAATATCTGCCCATTGCCTCCACCCTTGAATTAGAACTTGAACATGTTTTGTCGTGGAATTATAGAAGGGGCCATGAGGGTCATCTAGTCCAACCCCCTGCAATGCAGGAATCTTTTGCCCAACGTGGGGCTGAAGCCCATGACCCTGAGATTAAGAGTCTCATGCTCCACTGACCGAGTCATGTTACATTTCTCTGCTCTATAAACCTGTGGGTCTAGATGAGGACTCCTGTGCAATTTAGCTTCAGAAGTCTTAGTAGTAGTAGTAGTAGTAGCAGCAGCAGCAGCAGCAGCAGTAGTAGTAGCAGCAGAACAAATCAAGATAAAAAGGAAAAGGTAAACCTCATGCTTTTTTTCTGGTGGTACTCAAGGGTATGTAAGTACTGGCAACCTTTTTTAAAAAAAATATTTTTATTGGTTTTTGACATCCAAATTGATAAAACATAAAACAATTTATCACAAATACATTCTTATTGGACTTCCATCAGCACCTCTGACAATCCTCCGTCTTAATCACTTCTTACGCATTTCCTAACTTAATATTGCCTTTATATTCTTAACATATCACGTCTCCTTCTCCATTTTTGCAATATTTCTAATATTATTCCTCACAGAACTTCTTGCAAACCTACAAATGTCATCTGGTCGTCACAAATACTTTTCAAATAATCCGTAAATTTACTCCAGTCTACTGGCAAGCTTTTTTCTAGAAGAAAAGCACAGGTTAAAAGTGTGGCACTTACTGTAACAACTTCATGGTGAGTACCAGCACCGTTTTTATAGGAAAAAAGCACTGGGTAAACCTAAAGTTCAAATAAATGGACTGACTTTCAAAGAATTTCAAAATGACTCTACAGGTAGAGCAATGGCTGCTCCTGCATTTTCAAGTTCCACTCCTAGAACTCAAAATACCTGTACTGGTTTTGCAAGTGGATGTAATGCACCTATTATTTTGTCCTTCTAGGAATACTGGTCATTCTTTATTTGCTAGTCATTGCAAGTTACCTCCATCAACACTGGTATTTTTGTCCTCCATCTTTCCTCATTAGAATTGTGCTTCTAATTTCCGTGGCAAACTGCTAGGGTGTTTGTGTATACCGTTTTAACAATGGGGAAAGTGAACGAGAGACAGCGTTTAGTCTCTTTGCTGATGTGTTGTGTATTTGTGGAAATGGCACCTCAAGGAGAAAGATTTTTCTTCTTCTACATGTGCCATTCTTAGTTTGGCCTTGAAGTCAAGAAGCTTCGTATAGAAAAAAAATCTGATGTACAACCACGGTAACCAAAAATATGTGCTATAGCACTCAGCTATCTCAAGTCATGCCAGCAGAAAAAGAAAAAGAAAAAAAGAAGGAGCTTTCAATGCCCTCACGTGTCTGGAACTTTTGAAAATTACCATAGACTCCAGGAAGTCTAGAAGAACATCCTACTGTTGAATAATTAAAAACTGACTGAGGCTGCTCTGATACCTCTGGAATCAAGTGATATTATGGTATCAGCAGCAAAGCCACCTAGGCCTTGAAGCTCAGGTGTTAATCTTGCCATTTAAAATTGTTTTCCTCCCCTTCACTTTGCTGTTGTTTGATTAGCATTGCTGATCTTTGCTTTCAAACCTTTTGAGTTTTATGGCTACATTCCAAAGGAGCTGTAGGCATGTGTATGTTGGAGAACTGCTTGCACAGCCAGAGGTTTATTTGAAGTCTCCCATCTAGCCACTTACATTGCTGAGGAGAAAAACCAAATGTCAAAGAAGCTGCTGGCTATGTTATCCCCTAGACATATAGATCCACGACCTTTGTCTTTTTAAGGACTCTCCATAAAAAATGGAATTAGGATGCTATTTCAATTTTTCAGTTGCAGATGGAATTTTCTCAGAAGAATCACAGCAATTAAAGTCTCCTCAACATTTAAGTCTTAAAACATATACTTTCCCCCCAATTATATTTATTCAGAAGTTAGTCCCATTGATTTCTTAGAGGTTCATTTCCAAGGAAGCAGCTCATGATTCATCCTTGGGAAGACATCCATATAATGGTGTGTTTGTCCACCATAAAATATATCCAATGAAAAGGATCTACAACTTCTTCAGTAATTTATTTTCATAGGCTTTCTATTCTGATTGGTCAGAAAATTGCTCTTGATAAGCCTATTGGCTTTTACTTTAGCCTTGGTGGGTATGTAATAGCAGACAACTCTTCACCTTTTTCTAGGAGTTGTTTACATAGCTGAAAACTATTAGCAATATGTAATGATTCATCTATGATATATGTATATTGGTGTCGGTGAAAGAAGATGACTTAAATACAAACTACCAAAGCAGTAGCTTTTAACTACAGAAAGCAGCTTAAAGATAAATCAAGCTTAAGTAACAAACAGTAGCAATACTATATTAAGAACTTGAAAGCTGATTTCGGAAAATGAAGGAACAAATCTATTCCTATTAAAAGTTAAATGCTAAACTTCAATTTCTAATTTATGCTGTATCCATAAATGTAATGGGTTGGATCCAGACTTGCTCCTTCAATTAACAGAGGAAACTGGGAACCAGCAGAGGTTCCTCACAGAAAGGGAGTGGTTTTGATAGTTCCCGCTCCAGCCCACAGCATCACTTTCCATGTTGTCCTAGACTTTAAGAACCCTCAACTCTTGAGAAGCTTTGCAGGATACACAGGGGGCTGTAGGGGGTGGAGGAAGTGTAAGCAGAACAGTACTGAGTGCATTTCTTGATTCAAACCTACTAAAGACATACATCTTTGCCCTGGTCGTTGACACCTGATATTGACATCTATCTATATCCCTCAATATTATTCTGATTGTAAATGGTTTCAACTGATTTCAATCTTGCATGTTTATATTGTTGTAACCTGCACTGGGACCTTATGGTGAAGGGTAGGTAAGAAATTCAGTTAACAACAAATACAAACAACACATTAAAATATCCCTTTACTTGTTTTCTCTTGTCAAATGACACAGGCAAATAGCAAAGGGAACCCCCCCCCGTAGGCTTCTTATAACAAATTATTGCAAATTCCCAATGCCCCTGACCGTAGTCATGGGCAATGGGAACTTTTAGAAAGCATCTGAAAGCAGCACTGTTCAGGGAAGTTTTTAATGTCTAACATTTTATTATTATTTTGCTGGAAGCCACCCAGAGTGGCTGGGCAAACCCAACCAGATGGGTGGGCTATAAACAATAAAATTATTATTATTAATAGGAGTACAACTAATTCTCTGTGAATTGGTTTTAATGGCTTTATTATGTATTATGTTTTGTTGGATTTTATTTTCCATGTGATGGTTGTGGTGAAATACAGAATAAAAACACCTTAATCAATCAATCAATCAATCAATCAATCAAGTAGGATGAAGTCCAGTTGAAAACCATAGGCTATTAGTCATACCTAAATTTAGGAGGACAGGGATAATTGTGTCAAAGGTGCCCTGAAATCCTGGATGGCCAGTTTCAACAAAATATTTGATGGTTCTTTCCTCTTTGGGGAAAGTGGTAATGTTAGCCAAGTGTGTCATCATCACCACTTTTTAGGGGATTTTTTATTATGATGTGTAGCTTTGCCCTTTCAGCTTCAAACACCCCTAAATTGCACAGAGAAGGCAAAATATGGCTGCATGGCTTCCTCGCTGTTGAGCAGGCTGGGATTTCTTCATTAGTTAAGCCACAACGTGGTCATCTGCACCACTCCCATTTTGGCCGAAGTTGTTCTTACCTGTCAAAAAAACCTGATGTTAACAGACAGGCCCTAAAGTATGTGGATTTGCTTTCAATTGAGGGGTATTTGCATGTACAGTACAATCGTGTCTTGCGTGCAATTAATTTGCCCCATTTCAACCTTACGTGGTTGAAAGCTGGCTGGTTGAAATCCCACAAATCAATTGCACGCAAAGTGGAGATCTTGAAAGCTCCTATGCTCTGAGTTTTCCCAGTGTCGAAAACACTTTTAAAGTCTCTGACTTGCTTACTGGGCTTGGGGAGGCTGTTGAGAAATTTTGTGGAAGCTCAGATGGCCCTGCGAGATATTGCGAGAGCCTCCCAAAATTTAAAAGCTCTCTGGCTTGTTTGGAAGGTAAGGGGCAGTTCCAAGGGGGTGGTTTGGGTATACACATTTTTGCAAGTATGCGCCACCCCCAGAATGTATTTTTCCTTAGTGGAAGTATAGTACAGCAACAGAAGAAAAGAAATCAAGGGTTTAAACTCTTGATTGTATGTTCTGCATTGTGATTAGAAATAGTGTAGAATTGCTATGCATTAAGTATAGAATACCATAGTTCAATTTTGACTACTTATAGATAATACACAGTGCACACACCCAAATTTTTGATGCTGAGGGGGGGGGGGGAGAAGAGACAGATGGATAGATTAACAAGTGCCATCAATTCATCCCAGAGGCTTAGAGAAAATGTGGGCAAGGTTAAAAAGACTGCTTATATCAGCATTTAGAATAGCCTAAACCTTTTGCTTTCAAACCACAGGTTTGCTGCTGGAGCTGCGTGTGTGTGTGTGTGTGTGTGTGTGTGTAAGCAAGCTTGCAATTTGAAGACTGCACATCTTGCTGTGTTTATTATTATATGCTGGTATAATTTGAACTATTACCTGTGGCAAACTAGTCAAGCCTTTCAGGCTCTGCTGGGACCAGGAAGATAGCAATAATAGGGTGCTGGGTTTGGATTTGGGTCAAAATGCAGCTTAACATTCCTGTTCAGTCATGAAGGTCACTTGGTAACCTTAAGCAAGTCAGTGTCTCTCAGACTAGCCTGTGTCAAAGGGTGGCAGGAAGGCACTTTGTTCACTGAAAGATACAATAGAAAAGCATAACAATAACGAGCCTTGAAGCATTTTAAAGACCAACACATTTATTATGGGCCAAGCGTTCGTGGACTCTGGATGACAAACATTTATGCCATATTAAATGTGTTGAGCCTTTAGGGTGCCACAATACTCTGTTGCTTTTGCTGCAACAGACTAACCCAGCTAACCCAGTGGTGGTGATGGTAACAAAAACAACAGAAATAGTGTAAATTGTATTTCAGAAGTCTTTGAGTATATTTTGGCTATTGCTAACTGGGAGTGGGACCTGCCTGGAAACCAGTAATCTGTGTTAGTTCTTTATTCTTGTCATATTGCCAAGACTTTGAAAAAAAGGACAGGAACCTGAGAGGAACTTGTGGAATGTGACAAGAATACTAATATGCCAAGGTTTGTTAAAGTTGTTATATTGTTTGTCAGACAATATTAACAAGGAAGTGGTTGGAGGGGTGTGTGGAAAGAGGAGAGGAATGTTTTCACCAAAGACATCAGGACTTCAAAACTGGAGGGGTAAATGAAAAGGGGAACTAGTGCTAGACCAGGAAGCATGTGTTTTTGAAACAATTGCAGTGAGCTTTGAGGACACACAGAAGTTAGATGTGAGCAGTTGCCATCTACAAAGGAACTAACTACACTTGCCTGCTGGTAGATCTCCAGGGTGCCAGGCAATAATCTCTCCCATTCCTACTTACTTAGTTGAGCTCCTCTAACTGGAAATCTCTAGATGCGAAATCTGCTTCTAACTCATAACCTGTCCCTAAAAAAAGATAGTCTGACTCGCACTTCGATATGAATGAAAACTTGGGCATGGCAACATGTGCCCAGCCCCGCTTTTAGACGAGAAAGGTCTCAAAGCTGGTTCCAGCTGGCATCAAGATACATCACAGAGAACAGCAAGCTCAACACATGTCACAAGTCCTTTCAGCTGTTGATCCATTGCAGCAGCTTACTCAGCTCTTTCCAATGGAGCTGTTTATTCCCTCTGTGGTCACTGTCTGTTCATGGGCTGAATTGGAACTTGGGCACTGTAAAAGTGTAGACTGCTCTGAACAAAGCCACACGGCTAGCTAGAATTCAAAACAGCAGCATTTAAATTTCAGGGTAAGCTATACCACCTGAAACAGAGAGATTTAATTTTCAGAGGATGTAACTATGTTGGACTATTGTAGTAAAAACAAAAGGGAGTCTTATAGCACCTTGAAGACTTATTATGTAAGGCATCATGGAGTAGATGCATAAAGCGCTATCCTCAGATGGCAGGTTTATTTAAGCACAAACACGTGAAAAGAAAAAAATGTAGGCCATGAAATGCAAAAAGTACAGTCTGTGACAATTGTAAAATAGATGTACAGGCATACCTTGGGTTACAGATGCTTCAGGTTGCACGTTTTTGGGTTACGGACGCGCTGAAACCCGGAAGTACTGGAATGGGTTACTTCCAGGTTTCGATGCTCGAGCATGCTCAGAGGCACTAAATCGCACTTTGCACATGTGCAGAAGTGCCGAATTGCAACCCACGCATGCGCAGATGCGGCGCTGTGGGTTGCAGACACTGTGGGGTGCGAACGTGCCTCTCGCACAGATCACGTTCGCAACCCGAGCGTACACTGCATGTCAGATTGCTCCTGTCTCCCATTTCTTTTTGCTGAGCTTTTGAAGCATATTGCAATGCTTGACCGAGCCAGAAACCCAGCCAGATGGGTGGGGTATAAATAATAAATTTATTTATTTATTTATTGTTATTTAAAAGCTGCTTGAAGGTGTGATGAGGCTCTTTGTTGTTTCTGTAGGCATCCCTGTCCCTACAAGGGGTCTCTAGATTAGGGCAACACATTCTAAACATTGGTCAAGACACCAGTTGGTAGACTTTGTAGCATGACTACATAAGGTGTAAAGCTCGAAAAATAAGGGCAACAAAACTGTGTTTGCTGCATTTTTAGATTAAATGGCTCCATAAGCATCAATGTGTGTTTTAAGCCTGGCCTGGTTTTTACCATTTGTTCTTCACTGTAATTATGAAGATAAAGAACTTTTGAAATTAGAGCTTAGTATTGCATATTCAACCTAGCAGTTCGAAAGCACGCCAGTGCAAGTAGATAAATAGGTACCACTCCGGCGGGAAGGTAAATGGTGTTTCCGTGCGCTGCTCTGGTTTGCCAGAAGCGTCTTAGTCATGCTGGCCACATGACCAGCTGTACGCCGGCTCCTTCGGCCAATAAAGCGAGATGAGCGCCGCAACCCCAGAGTCCGCCACGACTGGACCTAATGATCAGGGGTCCTTATTGCTTATTCTGAAACAGATTTAAGCGCACCACCCTTCTTCTCCATCCTCTCTTGTGGTTTTAAATATAACACCCTCTCCTCCTTTTACTCTAGATCCTTGAAGAGAACATGAAGTTGGAATGCAAGTGCCACGGTGTGTCGGGATCATGTACTACTAAGACATGCTGGACAACTCTTCCTAAATTCAGGGAGCTGGGCTACATCCTTAAGGACAAATACAACGAAGCCGTTCAGGTTGAACCAGTGAGGGCAAGTCGTAATAAACGCCCAACTTTTCTTAAGATAAAGAAACCACTCTCCTACCGTAAACCCATGGATACAGATTTAGTGTACATAGAGAAATCGCCCAACTACTGTGAAGAGGACCCTGTCACTGGAAGTGTGGGAACACAGGGCAGAATGTGCAACAAAACAGCCCAGCAGACCAATGGCTGTGACCTGATGTGTTGCGGTCGAGGTTATAATACTCATCAGTATTCAAGAGTGTGGCAGTGCAACTGTAAATTTCATTGGTGCTGTTATGTTAAATGTAATACGTGCAGTGAAAGAACAGAAGTGTACACCTGTAAATGAAAGTGTGGCTTGGGAGGGGGAAACCTACAGCCTTGGAATAAACACATTTTTTTTTGCACATAAGCTCAGTGCACCTACACACGACTGTAGCAAAGACCCACACTGTTTCCAAAAGGAAAACCAGCAAATGGATCCCATCTTCCCCTCTTAATATATCAGCGCTTAAGTGGAGACCCATCAAAGACTTAGAGAAATAGTCCAAAAACAACATCAGACTTTTTAAAAAAGGAAACAGAAACAAACAAGTCACCTAATCAAAAAAAAATAAGTGGGGGGAAATGCTCTCAGATATTCTGCGCCTTCAGAACATAATTTATTGACTGCCTTAAGGGGGAAAGCCCATGTCCAGACCAAGGCAAGGGGCTCTTTGGGACTGGATGAGCGAGAGATTGAAAGGCACCACGCATAAAGAGAGGGCTGGGGGAACAAACAATTCTTAAACATGGTCTTTGCAGAGGATGGGGTGACAATGCGCCAGTGTGAATTTCAACTTAAAGAGAGTGGATTAAGCAGATTTAGGGATTTCTACACTTGTGAAAAGCTTCTGCTGGTCCTGTCTTTCCGTTTTTTTCAGACAATGTGCTACTGCAAGTAGGATTGTTGATGTTTTCCATATAAACACTGGTTTATCTGCCTTTTTGTCGTGCTGCAGATATTTTAGCACAGGGATTTGGGACATCTGGGCATAATAATAATAGCAATATTTAACAATTTATCCAGATAAAGCTAATATTAATTTATTTAATTAAAAAGAACTCTACCGACATTTTTGAAAACCATTCTGCATTTAGATAGCCTGCTTTTTTTGTGGAATAATTTTGTAGATATGGAAAGGAGGGGACACCCTTGAGCTGTATATATTATTGTTTACTCAGATATTTCTACTAGTTGGAATTGCAGGATGTTTTTTTCCTGCAATAATAGATGTTAAGTACAAAAGCAGGCATCTTTTATAATTTGTTTGGCTGTTTGCTGCTAGTTGTCTGGAATCTCAAACTGATATTCATCTTCACCTAGATACCAGTGCATAACCTGTCCAGTTTTTTATTTTATTTTAAGGAGCATTACATAAATCCAGTTGGAAATAATGCATCACACATAAATGCAAAACTCCAGACAAGTTTCCATCTTTGGAAAATGAACCATAGGATAAAAGAGTATATTTTGTAAGAGACTATTTTTATATGAATATTTTATTTATACTATGTCTGCTTGTATAATTCTATAACCTGTACTTTTTCTCAAAACAGGCACACAATTTGTAATTGTTAGGCTATTTAACAGATAAAGGCTGATTACTTTGTTGACCTGAAAGTAGCAAGCTGGATGCATTCAGTTGTTACTGGTGGATGTACAAAATACAGAATGAATTTTCTCTCCGGATGTATGTACAACGTGGCTCTTTTCCTGCAGTTCAATTTGCAGAATATGCAGAACAAGAACAGGGTATGTAGCATCAGTTTTGTCACATGGTTTGAATTCATGGTTGGTATTAACTGGATGCTCCTTTATCCCATTCAGAAAAAAATCTGAATTAGCTTCCCAGATGCATCAGTCATTAAACTGTGGCGTTATGACTAGCAAATGTGCTGTGTGTGCTGTCAGTTAAACCTCTATATTGTGCTACTGTCAAATTTGATTTTATCAGTGCAAGACTGTAGACTATGACTGTAAAAACTAGCATGACACGCATAGACTGATTCTCATAGATAAGACACAAAGCTTACGGGTTTTGTCCAACTAGTTTTTGGCATTTGCCCTACTCTTTCCCTCTCGGAAGGTTCTTAGTGAAAAAGATCAAGTCACATTTTAGACAAACTTTCAATCACGCCCCCATTGCTTTTTGTGTGTGTTCAGTTCCTGCACTGTGGCATTTCCTTTTCTTATCCCTAAGATTTTCTTCTGCAATTATGTTCAATTAAATTGTTTTGCTTTGGGGGAATTGTTGTGATCATTCCACCAGGATCACGGAAAATTCGTTCCCCCGAATTTGCTATTTCACATCCTGATTCCAAGATGAAACTAACGGGACCCCTTTCCACATTATATCCAGAGAAACTTTCATGCAAGAAACTCACACAAGGAAATGTAAAAAATTGTACATGAAAATCTGTTGCATGATGTAAGCCAGGGCTGTCCAACTCCCAAGAGAGTGTGATCTACTCCCACTATAAAAAAACCCAGCAGTGATCTACCCATTGGATTGAGCAGAGTTGTTTAGCTCTTTTTTTGGAAAAGCTTAATCAAAGTTGTTGAGCCTTTGGGGGGGGGGCATCAGGGTCCCGCGATCGATCAGGATCAACCAGGGACATCCCTGATGTAAGCTATTTCACATAGGTATACGGAGGTTGCTTATGTGAAGTCTTGGACATCCACAATTTTTTGTCTTGTGCATGCAGCCCTCTGGGTTGTAAGGCTCCAAAGAGCCCCATGCCTAAGGAACTTGTGTGTATGCATGGAGGGGCTGCTTATTTCTCTTCAAGGCTGCAGCCCCCTCGAGCCACATCAGATGTGCTCTGGTGTGTGCACTATCTTTCACGATGTGATGGAAAAGGCTGCCATTTAAACCCTGGGCAGTGTGTTTCAGACTGATGTATTGGAAATACAGGACCTAGTTGTTAGAGACATAAACATCACTTTATTATGCCCCACCTAAGGCTTTAGGAAGGGGTAGAACATAAAACAATTTTTAAATCAATTGCATCAAATATGACAACTCCTTAAAGCTGCTATTCCAAACACTATTCCAACCTTTCATTTAAAACCAATGAGATTTACTTCTAAATGAATGTGTCTACAGCTGTGTGTCCTGCGTCTAATGTGTCCCCCACTGCTGGTTTGGGAACCGGTGTACATATAACGTTAGCCACAACCCATATCTATCCCATGTCTGCCCTGCTGTTTCTTATGAAATACTGTGCTTTGATCAGGAGAGTGGGTGGCGTTGTGGTCTAAACCACTGACCCTCTTGGGCTTGCTGATCAGAAGGTTGGCGGTTCAAATCTGTATAATGGCCTCCCGTTGCTCTATCTCAGCTCCTGCCAACCTAGCAGTTCGAAAGCACACCAGTGCAAGTAGATAAATAGGTGGCAGGAAGGTAAACAGTGTTTCTGTGCGCTCTGGTTTCCGTCACAGTGTCCCGTTGCGCCAGAAGCACTTTAGTCATGTTGGCCACATGACCCAGAAAGCTGTCTGTGGACAAATGCCGACTCCCTCGGCCTGCAGCGATATGAGCATCACAACCCTATAGTCGCCTTTGACTGGACTTAACCATCCAGGGGTCCTTTACCTTTACCTTACTGTGCTTTGATGCATCTTTCCCCAAAACAGCTTTGATCGAGAGAAGGAACAACCTTGCTGCATTTTAAGTTGGTAAAGTATACACACAAGGACTTTAGTGACAGTGGTCAAATTGTGAGGTCCTCCTGTCTCATTAAAAACTATCACAAGAATGCATACATGCCCAGTAGTTTACCTTCTTTAGGAACTATTAGCACTCTAAATTAGTCTTAAGGGCTACATTTGGGAGATCAGAAATGAATGTGAGGAAACACAGCCTTATTATGAGTCATGATTTAAATCACATGAACCGCATGGGGATCACTTCATACAAATGGTACCATGTAGATCAGAGCAGGACTTAATTTCTTGGTAGCAGACACACCACTGAAGTAATGTTTGAATTGTTCCTTGGCACAACCACTTGGGGTGAAAGGGCAGAAGAGTGCATTGGAAGCAAGCCTCCTCCCTGCAACTTCCTCCAACAACGGAGTGGGTAAGTGTAAAAGGAATTAGGGCTAATGCTCACCAATATCCTCAGTGGGATAGAGAGTTTCACAATTTAATAACCTAGAGGAAGACAGAAGTTCCTCAGGTGCAGCATCTCTCGTTACAGGGTTGCAATGAGAGCTGTACCTGCTGAATTGCGCAGTGGCGTTTAAGCAGAGGCCATTTTAGGCTAGCATGAGTAGGGCAGTCGCACTGGGCGCCGCGCTGCAGGGGGCGCCACAACAATGCTGTAGAATCATAGAGTTGGAAGGGACCAGAATGGAATGAGAGCGGTGGAGGGGGTGGTTTAGTTTCATCAAATTTGAGAGCCCAAAGAAATTTGAGAACCAATGAATTATGGAACTAAAAGCCTGGAATATACTCATCTACATCATTAAGATGTGTTAGAACAGTTGTATCATAAATGCAACAGGTGCAACTTCCCAAAATGAAGCTGCAAGCTGGGTTGGCTCAATAGTGTCACACTTTATATACACCCATTTATTACATTCTCTACAGTTTTCAAGCTACAATCTACAAAGCACTGAGGAGGAACACTGGATGAACCATGTCTTTAGATGGCACCTTATGGGTTAGGAAATGTTCAATGAATTGACAGTAAGTAGATTTTCAGCTTATGGTTCATCCACAAAATATGATTTGAGAAACATCTAACTCTATCACTGCATTAATAAGAACTGATTCTCAAAGTTTTATGTAGTCCACTAATCACTATTAGCTAAATGTCTGTGAAGTGGACATGTGATTTAATAATGTAGACATTGTTCGTGGATTACAGAAAATGCCAACCATTACATTTGCAGTATGTTTTTACTCTACGAAAACATTAAGTAGAATTTATCTCTTTCTGTATATCTTTACATTAATGATGCACAGTGTATAACTATCTCAATGACTCCTAAAGATCTGGTTTCTTTAAATAGATTTACTTGCAATAATAAGAATTACTTGCAATAATAACAAAGAAAATTCATTTTTAGAAAATTCATAATGAACTAGGGAGAAAGTACATGAATATTGCACTAATTTAGGTTTAGAAATCAGCTTTAACTTGAACAGAACCTTTTAAAAGTTTGGACTATCTCTCTTGCTTATTTCAAGTCAATAAAACTTTTATAATTGTGCAGTGAGGACAGGTTAGTCCAACCACATCTTCTCTTACTAAAATTAATCTGATCCATCAGCCATGTATTGGGAATTAATTGTTAAATGAATAAATTATTTGAAATGACCAACATTGCTTAATATTTGAAAATCTCTAAGCAATATAAAAAATAGAACACAATAAAAATAAAAGTCTAAATGCAGATTTAAACATAAAAAATATTATAGCAAACAGATTAAAAACAGACATACAGTGATAACAGGGTCCAGTCTTACAAATCAGGGGAAACCAGGACATCTGAAGCAACAGATGGATGATGCCTCAATGGCATGAAAAATAAACATGAAGAAGAGATACCTCTGTATTTTTTTTATCTCTCTCCCCAACCTATTATTCACCATCTCTTGGGGTTTTCTTTATTAAAGATTGGCACAATAGCAATTTATGATATGATTCCCCTCAAAAAGGCTTTTGCCAGATGAACAAAGTGTTCAGTGAATGTCCCTGTAGGAACCCTGGGGATATTTGAAAGCAAATATTTCATTTAATTTATAATTTGTGTACCACCCTTCTACTGTATCATATTGAAGGCTGAAGAAATGACCAAAAGTTCAACAAGAATCACACTGCCATTCTATAGCAATTCAAAGTATAACAAATAACCAGCAATGAAAAAAAACCCCATTCACCTATAGTATTATGAGATGAAATGTTGTAATAATAAATAAAATAATAAATAAAAACAAAGGGAAAAGACTATGGAAACAAACTGGAAGACCCAGTCCTAAAGATGCGTGTTGCTGAAAAGGCACATGGTGTGACTTGTATCAGCATAGCTAGAATTGCATTTCCAATGAAGTGAATTTGCCTTGTTGTTATGATACTTTGCCAGTTACATTCACATTCAGATTATTACTATACATCAAGATTCATGATCCCGAATGCCATGGATGCTCCAATGGAGGTATGAACCTCAGTCCTGGAATTCACAAGCAGAACACAAGGCTGCTCACCTGCTGAGGTGCTTGTGGGCCCTGCTCCCACCTCAAGTGTCATTCACTGAAAATGCTGGTCAGGTGACATGCAGGGAGCTGAGTCAGGCCCACACCCAGTTCTTCAGTGGGCAAACATTGGGGGAGACCGTGCATGAACCAAATCAATCCTTTACTTCTCTCTTGTTCTCCCTCTTCCTACTGGTGCTTGATGTTACGTAGAGCTGACAGTGCTGATCAGGCGATAAATGTATGGAACATATGGTCTCCGTGGAGAAACTTTGCTGCCAGATGAATGCTGGGGACGGGGGCTTTCCTTTGATCTTACACCTATGTGGAATGCTGTGGATATATATGGATTTCTCAGGACCAGAGCAGTGGCGTTTTCATGCAAATAGGCTCAGATGATTCCACAGGAAACCTCAAGCATTTGCTCAGCCAGTCCTATTATTAGGTATACCAGTGAAGCAGTGTGCGTCCCAAGAGCCACTTCCAAATATCTTTTGTGACTTGGCAGAAGATGTTGGGACTCAGATTGAGCTTATTTGCACATAATCTGAGTGTTGTTCCTAATGTCTTCTTCAACATTGCAAAGATGTGGGAGTGCATCTCTTGGATGACATAAACCAGATGCTTGGGGTGGCAGAATGTCTTTGCCAGACATGTGTATGAGCAAATTTCCTATACTCTTCACTGTTGGTGGGACTCGGTGGGTGAAAGAGGAATGCATTCAGAGGGCTGCACAACACCAAGGTGACTGAAGATCGCTGTGCATCTGCAGACAACCCATGTTTACTTAGGTGAACACATTTACTCAAAACCACAACGCAGTTGGGTTAACATGTAGGTGTGGAGACTTGCACCAATGTGTAGGTCTTCATGGTGGTTGAAATGCATGTAGTCCTACAACATTGCATCGTATATCGTGATTAATGATGGATGAGTTCATATTGTAGACCTTTGCCTATGTTTTGAGATGTCTTATATGAGGAGAGCTTTTTCA